CCCAGTTGCGGGCTAAAGATCAACTGAGGCCCCCTCCCTGCGGCACACAATTCCCCATTGATAGGGTATAAGAAGGGTTGTCTGTAAAGGGAGGGCACTGGTTTCTCTCTAAAGCCAGTCACTTTCTTTCTTCCTATAATAAATCTTTCTCTGCCTGAATGCCTGGCTCACTTTTTCTCTGCTCGCCTTACAGCACCCTCAGTGGGTCTGCCAATCAATATGCTCTGTCTTCTTTTAGCACAAGGCCCAAGCTGGACTGATCAGATTACCTTCCAGGAATGTGAATCTTGAGTGCTCTGATGGGAGAATGGGAGGTGACAGGGGATAATGGATCCTGGGGGAGGTGTTCTGAAGAGTCAATTCTGCTGCTTGCACCAACAGAAAATTAACCTATAAAGAAGTTGGCAATTGGAAAATAAAAAACAACATGTAATCATTCATGGTGTAAGACACAAATTAGATGCTTATTTCGAAAAGACTAAAAGGTCCCCATATTTGATAAACTTCTTTCTCAGCCATCAGCCCCAACCCATCATTCATTCTCATAGTCTATCTTCCTCACTCTTCCCTCTGCCCTCCCCCAACCCATCCTTCTTGCTATTTCTCTTCATGGTCACTGTTATGTTTGTATCCTTCCAGGATTCTTATTTTGGATCCTGACCCCCATGGTGAAGATATTAGGAGATGGGGCTTTGAGGAAGTGACTAGGTTTTGCCCTCATGAATGGGATTCAATCTCTTTCATAAAAGGACTCCAAGAAAACTTCCTTCTACTGGGTGAGGGCACCAGGAAGTGGGTCCCTATTAACACAGATCTTTTGGCACCTTGATCTTTGATTTCCCAGCCTCCAGAAGTGTATGCAATTAATTTCTGCTTTTATAAATCACTCAGTCTAAGGTCCCAGGTGGCACTAGTGGTAAATAACCCACCTGCCAATGCAGGAGACCTAAGAGACACGGGTTTGATCCCTGGGTCAGGAAGATCCCTTCAAAAAGGGCATGGCAACCCACTCCAGTATTCTTGCCTGAAGAATCCCATGGACAGAGGAGCCTGGTAGGCTACAGTCCATGGGGCCACAATGAGTCAGACATGACTGAAGCAATTTAGCAGTCTATGGTATTTTGTATATGTTGTTGATGTTTAGTTGTTGTGTCGTGTCCAGCTCTTTGCAACCCCATGGACTGTAGACCACCAGGCTCCTCTGTCCATGGGATTTCCCAGGCAAGAATACTGGAGTGGCTTGCTATTTCCTTCTCCAGGGTATCTTCCCAGATCAGGGATCAAACCTGTCTCTCTTGTGTTGGCAGGCAGATTCTTTACCACTGAACCACAAGGGAAGCCTCATTTTGTATATATAAAGAGATGGAATTTGTATTTACATACACACACACATACAACGTAAGAAATACATATGTAGTATTTTGTGTGTGTGTATATATATATATATATATATAACTTTTCCTTTTCCATTCATCAACTACTACTCAGGTTGTTTCCCTTTTAAAAAATTTTTATGATTTTTTAAAATATTTAGCATCGCTGGGTCTTAGCTGTGGCATGTGAACTCTTTAGTTGTGCATATGAGATCTAGTTCCCTGACCAGGGATGGAACCTGGGTCCCCTCATTGGGAGCTTGGAGTCTTAACCACTGAACTGTCAGGGAAGTCTGACATTTTTACAACTAGTTTTGGTATAATTATTTTTATATTCTGGATACCTCTTACCTGTTTCTGAATGTGTTTAAGGCACTTAAGTAACATTTGAAATTTTAGGTCTGTGACTTTAATGAAATGTTTCAGTTCAGTTTAGTTCAGTCACTCAGTCGTGTCCGACTCTTTGCAACCCCATGAATCTCAGCAAGCCAGGCCTCCCTGTCCATCACAAACTCTTGGAGTTTACTCAAACTCATGTCCATCGAGTCGGTGATGCCATCCAGCCATCTCATCCTCTGTCATCCCCTTCTCCTCCTGCCCCCAACCCCTCCCAGCATCAAATATTTAGATGTGTTTAAATCTGATCAGTATTAAGGATATCTCATTTTAGAAATTCTAAAGTATTTATTATTTGCACACCTATGAATAATTAGAGGAATGTTGGCTATTTAAGGAATGTCATTTGGTTTCTTAAATTGATAAATTGAAAATTAATCAAAATCAAAATGAGTATTTTTCTCCCAGCCCATAAGCCCTTTGGACATAAGAGAATCTATCAACATGATAATCCTTTTTACTCTAAGATTCTGAGTAAGAGAGTCATACGAATTTTGGTATTGAGCAGCAATCTCTCATTTTATTAAATTTAATACATTTATCAAATGTTTTCAGGGTGCTATAAAACACTGTTCCAGGCACTGTTTTTATCCACTGGACTAGGAGTAAGACGATCCATGTTCTAGTGACATTCCAGCCTGAGAAACTCTGAATAATTATCGCTTATTATCATGTCTAAGCTTAAGTATCTCTTTTCATAAAAGAAAGGCAACATCACCTAGTTCGATGGACCAAATGAATTAATATATGTAAAAGGGTAACATCTTGCCCTCCTAGACAGAGATAAGTCATCACGTTAGGTTTCTGAATGAGTAAACCATTCCTGACTCCCTAGAATTTCGATGTAATAAATATATTTAGGATTCACTTAAATTAGAACATGTTGAGGATAACAAAGGACATGAGAATGAATTCACACCAGAATGACATAGTTTACTGTACAGTTAACATAGCATAATCATTTATGACCCTAAGGATAGATAATAGATTCTAATATTATGAAGAATTGGTAAAAATCCATGGCCAACTGGTTTCCTTCAGTTCAGACTCTTTTCTGAAATTGTCCAAATTCTGCTTATCTTCTTCTGAAAATCCTGTACTGCTCTCCTTTCCCTGTGTCATATACACTGCCTTCTGTTGAAGCCTTTAGCACTCTTTGTGGATTATTCAGATTTTTTTTTCTTGGTTGCATACTTTGATCAAAGGCTTCACTAATTGTAATTAATCATTACTTTTTTAACCTATACCTCCTGCTGTCTTGAGACTTCATCTTGCCTCACTCTCTCTTCCTGAAACCTGCAAGCTCTATACTCTGCCTCTTTAGGGCAAATAAATCTTACAAGTCACTTCCTTTGGTGAAGAGACACTTTCAGAACTTATCTGTCTTGAAGTTTGATCTCCATTACACAGGTATTTAAACATATCACTAGAAATCCTCCCTCACTCCAGTATCTCAGGGTTTTATTAACTATTTCATCCACTGATGTGTGGGACAAAAATGTACTTGAAAAATTTAACTTCCATGATGAAATAATTTCATTACTTTCTTGGTTTTTAGTGTCTTAATTTTTTTTAAAATTTAAATCATTCCAGCTTTGGCTTAAGGCCTAGGATATCTAGTCTTTCACAGGAATAAAGAAATGGGGAAGTCTTGAGCTAGGAGATATGTTAGAAGAAGGGTGAGAAAGCCAGGGGACTGTGTTCCAACTTGGTCTCATGGCTTCTTCAGCCAAGACTGAGAAGACCAAGAGAAAAACAGAAAGCCCAGAAACAAGCAGCTCCCTAGATGTAGCTATTCATGGTTTATGACGGTTTATATTTACAATGCTTTGTGACATCAAACTGTGATTTCTGTCAAACAAGGCAATGATTATAAAATTTAACCACCTTAAATTCCTTTTGGAAAAAGGTGGTACATAAATATACTTCAATAAATAAAATGAATTATTAAGCAAACTAGTAACACTTACTTGCATGTGTGCTCAATCAGCTCCGACTCTTCACAACCCTAGCCCACCAGGCTCTTCTCTCCATGGAATTCTCCAGGCAAGAATACTGGAGTGGGTAGCCATTCCCTTCTCCAGGGGATCTTCCCAACCCAGGGGTCGAACCCACAGCTCCTGCATTGGCAGGCAGATTCTTTCCCACTGAGCCACCTGGGAAGGCCCTACACTTCCTTAGTTGTTTATATAAACCAATAAGGCTCTTTCCTGGTTCTTTGACTCAGCATGGCACCATTGCTCACCCTCTGGTACAGCCCCTACTTCTGACTTCCACAGTGATGCAGGGACGTGAAGGGATTCTTATAAAGTCCCTGTCAGTATGAAATAAAACCTCCTCTCTATTCAAACCTGCAAATGTAACAGAAATAACAATTTTGATTCAAAAATCTATGTTTGCCATAGGGAAATTTAAAACTAGAACAGGACAGAAAAGTAGGTTTCTCTGAATCACTTTTCAAAGTTCATCAATATGACCCTTAGTCTCCTCTAAGACTCATCTTAGAGATCCCAGGACTGTTTGATGAAAATGCAAGGATTTCTAAAAAATAATATTACTATTGCCATATCCTATCACATGGCTTCTCAAATGATGGTACAGAAGACTTAGATGAATGAATATTTTCAACTTCAAAATTACATATTTATTTTTATGGAAATTAGAATATAATTAGCATATAAAACTCACAATCTCCATAAATAGTATTTCCTAGGACAAGGCTAAAAATCCCAAGTCCTATTAAAGAAAAATATTAAGTAAACATTAAGTATGATAAAATTGGTAAAGGACACACACAAATGACTTAAGTTTGAGAAATATTGCTTTCTGTTTATTTCAAGTTTATGTGACTGGTTATACTACACAATAGCCTTAATTAATTAATGTTTATGTAATTTAAAAACTGTATGCTATAAAAATCACAAGGGAATAATGAGAGGTCATTGCCTACAGGATTTCTGGTCATTAAAAAAAGTTTGGAACATGACTCCTAATATAATCTTGTTTATAAAATAAATTATTTTCACTATGTATAACTTCTGGGAATATAATATGCTAAATTTAAGGTCTAAATTTATTTGGCTTCATTGCATTAAAAGTTTATTTATAAGCTTTCTCCCTACTATGAATAATCTGATATTGAACAGGATGAAAAGGTCTGATCCAAATTTTCCTATATTTACATATCCATACGTTTCCCTTACTACCCCCAATACCCCCATTAGAACAAAGCTAAAAATTCTGAGTTATGTGCTGTGGAGTAAGGGAAGGATTGTGGCTTAAGGTTTTCTCACATTTATTATATTCACACAATTTCTCCCGAGTGTGGATTTTCCTATGTTGATTAAGGTGTGCACTCTGGCTGAAGGCTTTTTCACATTCATTACATTTATAGGGTTTCTCTCCTGTGTGAGTTCTCTCATGCTGATTGAGATGTGTCCTCTGGCTGAAGGCTTTCCCACAAAAACTACATTCATAAGGTTTTTCTCCAGTGTGAAGTCTATGATGTTCAGTAAGGGATGTGATCCGGCTAAAGGCTTTACCACACTGATTACATTTATAGGGTTTCTCTCCAGTATGAATTCTCAGATGCTGAGTAAAGGATGAATGTTGACGGAAGGCTTTCCCACATTCATTGCATATAAAAGGTTTTTCTCCTGTGTGAATTCTCTGATGTTGAATAAGGTGTATTCTCTGGCTGAATCTTTTCCCACATTCATCACACTTATAGGGTTTCTCTCCTGTGAGGATCATCTGAGGTTGAGTAAGAGATGAGTTCTGGCTGAAGGCCTTCCTGCATTCACTGTGTTTCCCTTCAGTATGTATATGACTGGTAAGAAGAAGATGTTGATTGAAGATTTTTCCACACTCATTATATTCATAAGGATTCTCTCTTACGTAGTTTCCCTGATAGTAAATCAGGTCTGAATTACGTTTGATGCTATTTCCTTGTGTGTCAGAATTAAGGGGTATTTTCATTGAAGGAATTCTCTGTTGCATAAGAAGGTTTGAGTTCAGATTATAATTTTCCCCAAATCTACTACATTCAAGGCCTCTCTCCTGTGTGATCTTTCTGTGGGTAAAAGATACTTGTCCTAAGTATCTCTGCTGGTTTTCTTGGTTGAATTCTAACTGATAATCAAAATCCCAGAGTCCACCTAAGATGGAGTACCAGAAACTGTCTCCTGTTAGTCTCTCCATTATTATGTCATGGGTTTGGTTTTCATCAGAAATATTATGGTTTGATTTTTTAATTTCCGGTCTATTCTCCCCATCTAAAAGAAATTCAGAACATATAAACACTTTAGTATTCTCTGTTTGAAAAAGAAATTGTTGCATAGTAAATCACCAAATGAAACTGACAGAAGTGCAGACAGTGAAAATGTGGCATTGAAAGTTTTGAACTAAAGCCATGTAACAAAGGGGAAAGACTATAAGAGGATGACAAAGAAGCAGTGAGCAGGGAGAAGTTTTAAAATATGAGTGGTAATCATAAAAAGAAGAGATCAATCAGGAATATACATAATTTGGAGAAAACGGAAAGGAGAGTAAGAAATATCAGAAGCAAGTCAGTGCTCAGAGGTGGAAGACAAAAAAGACTGTGCTTAGAGAACACAGGGCCAAGTCCATGACCTTCTCAATCTCACCTGTGGCTTATTCTATTGTAGTGCCCACTATCTGTTTATTTCAAAAGTATTTCTTCCTATTTTAATCTTTTGTTTAAAATGATTAATGATTAATTTTCAGCTGTGCTGGGTCTTCATTGCTGCATGTGGGCTTTTTCTAGTTGTGGCAAGTTTTGTATTAGTTGCTGAGTTGTGTCCAACTCCTTTTGACCCCACAAACTGTAGCCCATGCAGCAAGTGGAGGCTACCCTAATCTCCTTGTTGTTAATGCTACTCCCATCTCTTTTAGAACCTTGCTCCATCTTTTCTATTTTCTACTTATACTCTCCCTGACCCCTTCCATTCAGCACTTTAAACAAGCTGGAATCATTCATGCTTAGAATGATCCTATTTTGACACTGCCTTCCAGTCTAGCTATCTGGTTCATCTGGTAAATAATCTGCCTGCAATGTGGGAGACCTGGGTTCAATCCCTGGGTTGGGAAGATCCCCTGGAGAAGGGAATGGCTACCCATTCCAGTATTCAGGCTTGGAGAATTTCATGGACTGTATAGTCCATGGGGTCACAAAGAGTTGGATACAACTGAGCCACTTTCACTTTCTTTCTAGTTAGCAGTCATCCTCTTTTTTTGCTTCACCTTCTCATTTGAGCTTCTTGTAAGAAGTACCATATACGTAATAGCTGCACTGTTTTTTAGTTTTTGGCTGTACCAGCAGCACGTGGGACCTTAGTTCCCTGACCAAGGATCAAACCCACACCCCCTGGAGTGGAAGTATGGAATCTTAACCACTGGACTGTTAGGGAAGTCCAATTACTAGCTCTTTTTTTTTTTTAAACCTCCTGTTTACTCAGCAACGTACAAACTGACTGTTTTGCTAATTACTCCCCTGTCACTTCTCTCATTAATATCATTCCTAATCTTTTCATTGTTAGATCCATCAGACATTTTCCATGTCTCATCTTAGCTGAAAGATAATTTCTAGATATTAAGCGGACATCAGCTAATGTCAAAGACAAGCAATACCCCAGAGGGCACACCAGAATGAGGTTGCACAAGCCAGATCATTCTATCTCAGTTCCTTCATCAACAGAAACATTTTACCACATCCTTGTAAGAGAAACAATTGATTGTGTCTCACAGGAAAATGCAAAAATGCAAGCAGTCTCCTTGGAGGACACTGCTAGGCTGCCTGCCCTGACAAAGAGGATACAAAGAAACCACTTATTCAACCTCATCTGTGGACCAAAAGCCTTGACCACCCAAGTACAGCTGATAATGAAGTCTAGAAATTTCTATTCTGGCCATGCTGCACAGCTTGCAGGATCTTAAATTCCAAACCAGGGAGTGAACCTGGGCCCTGTCAGTGAAAGCACTGAGTCATAACCACTAAACTGCCAGGGAATTTTCTTGAGTGTAGTAGTTATTTTCTCTAGTTGGGAGTCTTTGGGTAGGGACATAATGGGAGACAGGATGGCTCCTTCACGTGGCAGCATATGTACCTGTGGGAAAGAACAGCTCAGGTTTCTGTGTGAGCACCTACACTGGCAATTTGCCTGAAAAGGGAGTTTTTCATTTTCCTTTTTTAGTTTCCTATTCTCCAGGTTCCAGGATAGGAAGGTTTGTGGAAATAATGTTACTCATCATTTTCAGGAAAAGTGCTAGGGGTTCTTGACAAACTGTTTTAATTATCAGCCTCTAAACAGGGTTTAGAGCACTGCAGTGTAGCACCTGTCAGGCTAAAAATTTAGGTCCAATGAGGCTGAAAAAGGAATAAGTTTTCCCACCTAAGATAACAGAGAGCACTAAAAGCAAGAAAGACAAGTGAGTCAGAGTCAGCTTCAGAAAGCTCAAGTTTGAATGACAAAACCAAGCCCAAATGATGAAACAAGGTGTCTGAGCAAAGAATCAAGATGGAGTACATTAACCTGGCTTAATGACTCGGTATCTGGAACATACCCATTAGCCCACTGTTTCCTAATATAACCAGGCAGAGCACTATAGGTGGTATGCCCACAAAAAGGAGCTAAGATTGGGGGTTTGGTTTTTTCTTTTTTGGTCAAGAAGTCTCATATTTAGTAGGATGGTTTAAAGGAGTAGAGAGTCAATATGTCCAGGGTTTGAAATACTTGATTAAAATGACAGTACGACATTCATAAACAAAAACATAATCTAAACTCTGGGAAGAGAATGTACATGAAATACTGAGGCTAGAGATGTAGAAATGAAAAAATGACATAGAGAAGCTACTTAAAAGCACAGTATTGCAGAACGAACACCAAGTCCATAAGAAATTTGTGCCTTTAGAAGAATAAGGAGCAAGAGAAGGTATTCAAAAGAGCAGGTAGGATACCTATGATAGATTCATGTTGATGTATGGCAGAAACCAACACAATGTTGTAAAGCAATTACCCTTGAATTAAAAATAAATTAATTAAAGAAAAAGAACAGGTAGGGAGACAGGAGAGAGGCTACAAGAGGCAAGAATGGTGTGAAAGCCAAGGTGCAAGACAATTTCAAGAGTCAAGTCAACACAGTCAAATGCAACCTGATCATAGAAAATGATAATGGTGGCTTGTTTTAGCCACTGGACTTCACTGGAAGAAAGTTAGTGGTAATCTCCAAGAAAAAAAATTTTAGTAACATAGGTATGACAGGGATCCTATCACAAAGGTGAATAAGAGACTGAGAACCAAGGCTATGGGTTTTAGACAAGTTTAACATGTTTGATAATAAAAAGAAAAAAAATAATGAAAAATAGGTAAAAATGGTAGAGGATTTTTGGTATGGAAAAGAAAAAGATTTAATAGCCAGGACATGGAAGCAACCTAGATGTCCATTGGCAGATGAATGGATAAGAAAGCTATGGTACATGTACACAATGGAATAATCCTCAGCCATTAAAAAGAATACATTTGAATCAGTTCTAATGAGGTGGATGAAACTGGAGCCTATTATACAGAGTGAAGTAAGCCAGAAAGAAAAACACCAATACAGTATACTAACGCATATATATGGAATTTAGAAAGACGGTAACGATAACCCTGTATGCAAGACAGCAAAAGAGACACAGATGTATAGAACAGTCTTTTGGACTCTGTGGGAGAGGGCGAAGGTGGGATGATTTGGGAGAATGGCATTGAAACATGTATATTATCATATGTAAAACGAATTGCCAGTCCAGGTTTGATGCATGAGACAGGGTGCTCTGGGCTGGTGCACTGGGATGACCCAGAGGGATGGGATGGGGAGGGAGGTGGGAGAGGGGTTCAGGATGGGGAACACATGAACACCTGTGGAGGATTCATGTCAATGTATGGCAAAACCACTATAATACTGTAAAGTAATTAGCCTCCAATTAAAATAAATAAATTTATATTTAAAAAAAGATTTAAAGAATCCTGAAAGGATGTATTAAAAAAAACAATAAGAGTGCTTTGTAGAGATTTGAAATATCAATGTATTTATGAACAAACTAAAATTTTCAAAATAATTTTTGTGTTGTGCAAATTTTTAAAATAGTAAGTATATATATATACTTTATCTGTTTAATCAGAAAAAAATAGTCATTTCTACTTTGGAAAAATGTCAAATATGAACTGAAATTTTTAAAAGGCCTCTGCTGCGGCTGCTGTTTAGTTGCTAAGTCGTGTCCAACTCTTTCAGACCCCATGGACTGTAGTCTGCCAGGCTCCTTTGTCCATGAGATCTCCCAGGCAAGAATACTGGAGTGGGTTTCCATTTCCCTCTCCAGGGGATAGTCCCAACCCAGGGACCAAACCCATTAAAAATGCCTTGATATCCTTTAAATCCCAGAGGGATTTAAGATGTTCAGAGCACTCTCCATTAAGTATTTCAAAAGTGACTATTTTCCTTCACTGAGTCACAAATACTCAAATGCTCTCTTCTCACCTGGATGAGTGTCTGGTGGGCTGACTCTTCCCATCATCCACCGCTCCTCCTGTTCCAACTGAGTGATCACCTCTGGCTTACACAGTTGATGCCCTGTTCAAGAGGAAAATGTGTATCTTAGAATTTTACCCAGGGAACAAAAATCTCAAAACTCATTTCCAAACTTTTTTATCTTTAGGGTCTTTGGATTTGGAAAGGGGAGGCTTCTAAGGCAGCAAAATAAAGCTACCCATCTCAAAGTCAACACATTTCACCAGAGGAGAAAGCAGGAAACAGAGGTCTCTTGTCTCCACAACTGATTGGCTTTCTTCCATCCTGGCCTCATGCTTTCTAACTGTGGTGCTAAAGAAGACTCTTGAGAATCTCTTGGACTGCAAGGAGATTAAACCAGTCAATCCTAAAGGAAATCAACCCAGAATATTCATTGGAAGGACTGCTACTGCTGAAGCTGAAGCTCCAACACTATAGGCACCTGATGAGAAGAGCTGATTCACTGGAAAAGACCCCGATGTTGGAAAAGACCGAAAAGAAAGGGAGAAGGGGGCGACAGAGGATGAGATGTTTAGATCGCATCACCGACTCAATGGACATGAATTTGAGAAAACTCTGGAAGATAGTAAAGGACAGAGGAGCCTGGCATGCCGAAGTCCATGGGGTCCCAAAGAATCAGACATGACTCACAGAGATGCCATCCTTACCCAGTGCAACCAGATTCCTGTAGTTTTCCAGCATCACATCTCGGTAGAGGTTCTTCTGAGCAGGGTACAGCTGGTCCCACTCTTCTCTGGTGAAGTCCACAGCCACGTCCTGGAATGTCAGTGATTCCTGAAACATCAAGTATATCCCTGCTTAGCCAGAAACCTTTTTTTTTTTTTCCTTTACAGGGGCCCTTAGGGGAAGAGTCAAAGGTGGTGTGGTAGACAAAGGATCCCTGATTCCTTCTAGTGGATAAATACTGAGCTGCTCTGCTTCCCCAGCTGATACAGGGAGGCAGTCTGTCATGTTCTGCTCTGCTGGTCAAATCCTTAAGTGCTATGCCTGGTTCCTTTTAATGAAATATGGCACTAAGACCCCAAGATCTGGGCACTAGCTGCATCTAGTGCTACTGGAGTACCATTTCTTCTAGGCCCTCTCATGGGTCATATCTAGGAAAGAGGGGAACATATACAATGATGTACGTATACAGACACAACTCCATATCCAACCCTGTATTTACTGATATTTATTAAAACCCATAGGTCAAGAGAGTGACTGGTTAAAAAAAAAACAAAACACCATGGGTCCACATTGATATCTCTAAATCTAATCCAACATAGCAGGGTTCATTCCATCCTCTCTTCTCATATCTGCAATTCCCTTCTCTGACCATGAGACACCTGGTCTCCAGCATTGCAGGCAGATTCTTCACAGTCTGAGCCACCAGGAAGCCCAAGAATACTGGAGTGATAGCCTATCCTTTTCCAGGGGATCTTCCTGACCCAGGAATCGAACTGGCATCTCCTGCATTGCTGGGAGATTCTTCACCAGCTGAGCTACCAGGGAACATGCCTCTGCACAGAACAAGCCTACAAATGAGAGTCCAGTATTGAGAACTGTTTTTGCTTTTAGCCTGAGGACATAGAGTACAAGTAATGATTTAGTTTCAAAAGTTAACTCCTTTTCAGCGTGGTTATATCAGTAATCTGAAATACAGTTTGGCTCACTTATTTCTGTTTATTTTCAATTTTAAGCCCTCCTTGCATACTGCCCACCTCCATTCCCTCTTTTTCACCCCTTTCCATCTAAGTCCTACAAGTAGCCAATCTCATTAGATACAAGTTTATCCTTCCAATGTCTCTTTTCCCTCAAACAAGTATTTGATGCATTTATATATTTTTGTTTCCTCTTCTTTCTCACACAAAGTAGCAGAAGTCTTTTGCTTCTGATTTTTTTCACTCACCAGTTTATATTGAATATCCCTCCACATCAGTTCATAGATTTCTTCCTCCTCCTTTTTTTTATAGCTGTGTGGTATTGTGTGAATGTCCCACAATTTATGCAACTAGTCTACTAACAGGCATTTTAGCTATTTTCTACTCTCTTGTTACTATAAATCATGCTGCAATGAATTATCTTGAATGTATATTATTTTGCTATCTATCTCTATCTCTATAATCCATTTCCCAGGAGGTGTCTGGCAAAAGAGTATATGAATCTGCAATTTTGATACATATTGTATAGCTCACCTCTGTAGGGATGGTATCAATTGCTGTATAACAAACCACCTCCAAATTTAGTGGCTCAATACAACAACAATCATTTATTTTATTCACAGAATCTGGAACATGGGCAGAATTCAGCAGGAGTAGCTCATCTTTGTTCCATTTTGTTTCAGCTGGGAGGCTCAACTTGGGGCTGTAGGATTCACTTTTAAGAGGCTCATTCATGTGGCTGGCAAGTCAGTGCTGGCTGAAAGCTGGGAGCTTGGCCAGGTGTCTTCAGTCCTCTCCATACAAGCCTGTCCACAGGCTGCCTGGGCTTCCTGGCATGGTCACTGGATGCCAAATGCAAAATTCCCAAGAGAACCACCTTTCTTCATCCAGCCTCAAAGTCATGTGGCTTCAGTTCCACCACAGTCACAAGCCAGATCCAAGGGGAAGGAACACAATCATACCTCTCCTGACAGAGTAGTTAAATCAGTATAAGAGGAGCCTATGGAATGGGAGAAATTGTGCCATTTTCAGAAAATACAACCTGCTACTGTTTACCCTCTGAAGGTAAATATTCACATCCCTTCCTCATGCAAATTTCACTCATCTTCCCCAAGACCCCTACATTTCATCCCGTTATGGCATCAATTTGAAGTCTGGGATCTTATCATCTATACCAGGTCCACAGGCAGATGAGGCTCTTGGAGCATAGTTCCTCAGGTATGGTTCCTTGAAAGCTTTCTATTTTTCTTTCTGTGAGCTGAAGAAATAGGTATTTGGCCCCACCCTCTATCCTTCACAAACTCAAAGTGGTGGGAAACTCATAGAAATAACTGCCATAGACACTCCCATTCAAGTAAACAGCAATTCAGAGCAATTCTATAATGTAGCTGAGCTGGGCACATGTTGAGAGGTGTGAATAAGAAAGTTTTATTTTCAAACTCAGTAATTTCTAGCTCCTTTATATTTATTTTTTTGACATTTTAAAAAATTGAAATACTGTTGATGTACAATATTGTGTAAGTTACAGGTATACAATATAGTGATTCATGAATTTTAAAGGTTATACTCCATTTATAGTTATTATAAAATATTGGTTATATTCCCTGTGTTATAGATTCTTGTAGCTTATTTTATACATAATAGTTTGTACCTCTTAATCCCCTATTTCTTGTATTGCTCCTGCCCCATTCTCTCTCCCCACTGGTTCTCACTAGTTTTCTCTCTATATCTACAAGTCAGCTTCTTTTCTGTTTTATTCACTAGTTTGTTTTATTTTTCAGATTTCACATAAAAGTTATATCATACAGTATTTGTCTTTCTCTGACTTATGTCACTTAGCATAAGGCCCTCCAAGTTCATCCATATTGCTGCAAATAGTAAAATTTCATTCTTTTTTTTATGACTGAGGAGTAATTTCATTGTATACATACACCACATCCTTATCCTTTCATCTCTTCATGGACACAGAGGTTGCTTCCATGTCCTAGCAGTTGTAAATAATGTCTCTTTGAACACTGGGGTTTATGTTTCTTTCTGAATTAGTGTTTTAGTTTTTTTTTTGGGGGGGGGGTTATATACCCAGGAGTAGAACTGCTGGGTCAGTGATAGTTCTACTCTTAGTTTTTTGAGAAACCTCCATACTGTTTACCATAGTGGCTTCATCAATTTACATTGCCACGAATAGCGTATGAGGGTTCTCTTTTCTCTACATCCTCGCCAAAATTTGTTATTTCTGTTCTTTTTGATGATAACAGCCATTCTGACAGGTGTGAGGAGATAGCGCAGTGTGGTTTCGATTTGCATTTCCCTGATGATTAAAGATGCTGAACATATTTTCATGTCTGCTTCCTTTATATGTAACAGTTCTTTATTTAGTTTATCTTTTCCTCTCACATTTTACTTTAACCAGCCAGAAGCTGACAGCTGGCACTTTCAATCTTCTATATAAAAATTTCCTTAAATATATCACTGAGTCCATTAAGTATAGTTCCTATTTTTCTTGTTACTGAAGGTGACACTGTTAATCAAAATTCCTTCTTCAAGTGTCCCCTTTCTTCAGCTCATGACAAGATTTTCCTTCTTATCCTTTAAGTCCTGTGAAAGGTCCTTTAGGGCCCCACTAACTCTCCTGGATGCCCTTTATGGTTCCAAAAATAATCTTTTCCTTTCTGTCTTCTGCCCTTTGCTCAGCTGGCGCTCTCTCTCTCTCTCTCTCTCTCTCTCTCTCTCTCCTGTCTCTCTCTCTCATCAATCTTTTCTTTTATGGCTTCTGGATTCTCAGTTGTAAGTTATAAAGGAATTCTCCCATTTTTTTCTTGTGTAACTTCTGTGGCTTAGTTTTTCACAAAAATTAAATCAAAAATATTTAAATTTAAATATTTGATCAATTTGAAGATAGTTCTAATGTAAAGTATGAGGTATGGATTCAACTTCATCTTTTTCCACATGGCTCTATATAAATATCATCGATTATTGAGTAAAACATCTTTTCACCACTGATTTGAGATGTGATGTTTATCATATGCAAAATTCCTATTTGTTCAACAAATATTTATTCAGTGCTTCCTATAAGCCACCTATAGGGCTTGAGATATACTAGTGAACAAGAGAGACTAAAATTCTCTTCCTTTATGAAACTTCAGTAGGGGAAAGTAGACAATAAGGATGATGACTGGGTAAATTATATGTTATTAAAAGACGCCTGTTCTTTGGAAGAAAAGCTATGACAAACCTAGACACCGTACTAAAAAGCAGAGACATCACTTCACTGACACAGGTCCACAGAATCAAAGCTATGGTTTTTCCAATAGTCATGTACAGATGTGAGAGTTGGACCATAAAGAAGTGCTGAAGAACTGATGCCTTCTAACTGTGGTGTTTGAGAAGACTTTCCTGAGAGTCCCTTGGACAGCAAGGAGATCAAATCAGTCAATCCTAAAGGAAATCAGTTCTGAATATTCACTGGAAGGACTGATGCTGAAGTCGGCTTAATTTGTCACATTAATTTATGGCAGCAGAGGTCCTCAGGTGTAGTGATTCCGTTACCTCCAAGTGGTCAGTGACATGGGCATCATTCATTGTTTGAAGACTGAATGCCAAGTGTTTAAATTCCAGTGAGCTGTTTAAGGGAAGGGTGATTTAAAGAATCTGCCTGCCAATACAGAAAATGCAGATGTTTGATCTCTGGGTCGCAAAGATCCCCTGGAGTAGGAAATGGCAACCCACTCCAGTATTCTTGCCTGGAAAATTCCATGGACAGAGGAGCCTGGTGGGCTACAGTCCATGGGGTCACAAAGAGTTAGACACAACTGAGCACACACATGCACTATTAAAAGACAGTCTACGGCTTCTTGTGTTGCCTTTACAACATCCAGCACAGACATGAATCTATGAGCTGATAAAAATGCTGAAGGAGATAAGAGCTATAAAGAGGTATGGAAGGTGAGTGGGAAACACCACATACAGATATGTCACATCTGTCACAAGAATCTCAAAGGCTCTGGACTTCGGGGGCTTAGTTCTGAGAATTAAAAAATAAAAGTACCTACATTCTGCGAACCACCATGGCATTTCAGAGGAGAGGAAAACAACTTACCTGGGGCTTCCCTGGTGGCTCCGTGGTAAAGAACCTGCCTGCCAATGCTGGAGACATGGGTTTGATTCCTGATCTGGGAAGATCCCACATGCCTCAGAGCAATTAAGTCTGTGCACCACAACTACTGAGTCTGTGCTCTAGAGCCTGGGAGTTGCAACTATGGAGCCCATGTTCCCTAGAGCCCCCGCTCTGCGACAAGAGAAGCCACTGCAATGAGCAGCCTGCACACCATGACTAGAGAGCAGCTCCCACTTGCCACAACTGGAGAAGAACCCCCACAGCAACAAAGACCTAACAGCCAAAAAAAAAAACCCCAAAAAATAAGAAATAAAATTATTAAAAAAAAAAACAAAATTGAACTTACCTGAGACATGACTGTCTGTGATCCAACATTCATTTCCTTTTCTGTGTTTCCTTCCTGGGAAAATATGGCATCCTGAGAGGGCATTCCTGTGAAGAGAAGAGAAGAATCTTGTCAAGGAATGGTATTAAGGCTGCACCTAAATCGTGCACCTTTTGTCTTGTAGCAGGATGAGAGACTGTTTAGAGAAGCCCTCTTAAGACATAAGCCTAAAGGCTGGGTGATGTAACTGTGACATTCTTGTTCCTCTATTACACTGAAGAATTTAAAGTATGGCTGTCTCTCTTCTGTGGTACAACTCCATTTATTGTGACATATGGGAAGCTCAGGGGTGCTCACTGGTTTTTAGCACTAGCTACTCACTTGGGGGGATTTTAAAAAGATGCCAGTGCTCAGCCCCTCTTCCCTGAGATTTGGATTTAACAATCTCAGGTAAGCCTGGGCAACAGCATTTTAAATTCTGAAGTCTCCAAATGATTCCAAGTGGCAGATGAGAACCACTGAGATGATGTGATGCAGAGAACATATGTTGAGGAGTTATTCTTACTCTTTAGGGGAATAAACTCATCCCTAAACTCAAAGTCCAGGCATCTCCTCTACTCTCTTTAAGATGATCCCTCTACTCTACTCCTAGGCATATACCATGAGGAAACAAATATTGAAAAAGACATGTACATGTACAATGAACATGTACCCCAATGTTCACTGCAGCACTGTTTACAATAGCTAGAACATGGAAGCAACCTAGATGTCCATCGACAGATGAACAGATAAAGAAGTATATGTGGTGCATAAACAAATGGAATATTACTCAGCCATAAAAAGGAATGCCTTTGAGTCAGTTCTAATGAGGTGGATGAACCTAGAGCCTATTATACAGAGTGAAGTAAGTCAGAAAGAGAAAGATAAATGTTGTATACCAACACATATATATGGAATCTAGAAAGATGGTACTGATGAATTTCTTTGCAAGGTAGCAGTGGAGAAACAGACATAGAGAACAGATTTATGGACATGGGGAGAGGGGAGGAGAAGGTGAGATGTATGGAGAGAGTACCATGGAAACTTACATTACCATATGTAAAATAGACAGCCAATGGGAATTTGCTGTATGTCTCAGGGAACTCAAACAATGGCTCTGTATCAACCTAGAGGGGTGGGATGGGGAGGGAGATGGGAGGGAGGTCCACGAGGGAGGGGACATCTATGGCTGATTCATGTTGATGTCTGACAGAAAACAACAAAATTCTGTAAAGCAATTATCCTTCAATTAAAAAATAAATTAATTTAAAAAAAGATTAGGGAAAAAAAAAAAGATGATCCTTCTACGGATTCCCTGCTTGCTCATCGGTAAAGAATCCCCCTGTTAATGTAAGAGACACAGGTTCGATCCCCGACCCAGGAAGATCTCACATGCCGTGGGGCAGCTAAGCCCGTGCACCACAATTACCGAGTCTATGCTCTAGAGCCCATGAGCTGCAACTGCTGAGGCCTGTGCACTGTAGAGCCTCTGCTCGGCAACAACAGAAGCCACCGCAATGAGAAGCCCACGCACCGCAACTAGAGAGTAGCCCCTGCTCGCCACAACTAGAGAAAGCCTGCACACAGCAAAGGAAGACCCAGCACAGCCAAAAATAAATAAATAAATAAAAATAAACATTACAAATGATTAAAAAGATGACCCTTCCAATAGAGAAAGGAGATTTCACTCTTTTCATTTTTCAGAATGTCCACCTTCCTTTTTGAGTACCTGGATTCAGTCCTCCACGAGGATGACTGCACCTCTTTACAGTCCTTCAGTTGTAATGTCACCAAAGCCTTCTCTTCAGGCACGACAGTCAGGAGACATACCAGTTCTAACAGCTTCAGCAGCCGTGTCAGTCCCTGAAGGCTGATTTTCCAGTGCCTTAAAGGCAACAGCCAGTCCTAGGTAAAGGTGCCTGATCTCATGAGAGGGTCAGGAGCCAGTGGATATCCATGAGAGTGATTTCTGCTTCCCAGGGCAGCCACTCTCAGGATCTTTCCTTGTTCATGTAGAACTGAGATGTGGAGGTTCCTGAAGTTGGCTATTACACTGTTGTTGTTGTTGTTTTTCACTAAAGGCATCAATCCTACATGTACATACGTCACTATGATATTTGAATCTGCCTCCCAGCAGAGATCTTGAGAAATACAGTTTCAGGTTGAGCACCTGTAATGAGATGCATCAGAGTCAGCAGAAGAACTCCAGCAGTGTTGGTTCCCTAGAGACCCATGGAGTCTAAAAAAAGACAGACTCACCTATTCATTGATAGAGACAGAGCACCGTAGGAGGTGGAATTCATTAAAAAGATCCAAACAGCGGTTTTAGAATTTCTCAAAGAGCAGAGAGATACAGAAGCAGCAACTACAACAAATTTAGCCTTAGTCCTCTCCCACCCTCTTCTTGGAACAGAAAACATGTGGTCCTTTCCCACAGACAGACTTTCAAATAGAGTGGCTTTCTCCTCAGAAAGAAGAAAAAACCAGGCATTTCACCAGTACCAATAACAGAAAGAAATGTATTGATCTGTTAAAAATCATGAGAATACATTTGTTCTCTGTTCACAAAAGTTGACCTCAAAAACTCCTCTCAAAAACTACTGATAGAAACAAAGAATAAAATAATTTCTGAGAAGTAATAAGAAAAAGAAAGGAAACTGTGGTTCCAATGGAATGGCCCTGTTAGAGAAAGAAGCCACTCAAGCCAAGACATGCCAGGAATCTAACATTTTACAACCAGTTTTCACTAATATGAAGATCTTTCAAGAATAATTTAAAGGCACTTTAAGGATCAGGTCCTTATTTTATCAAGCAAAAACTCTAAAAAGGTCCCATGGTCTGAAAAGCCAGACTGAATTTACAAGAATGTCTTGGGGTTTCAAACCCAATCACCTGAAAACCATATATTCACAACAACAAAAACTGCACTAACCATGTTAGGAAGACCGGTTTCTCCTCCTATGAACCCAAGGGAATGAGGAATATTTCAAGTATATTATACATTGTATACAAATATAGCTAGTTTGAGATTACTTTTTATGGCATCTGATGGGAATAGGGTTCCATAAAACACAGCTTTGGAAATGCTGATCTTAGAGATCTTTCTTTTTATTAACTTCATAATAAACTACCTTATTCTACTTTTATAGCAGCACAATATTACACTGTACAGATCTATCACAATACATTTAACCACACTCATAGTTAGCATTTAAGTGGTATCCATTTCTCAAATTACAAACAATATTGTAATGAACATCTTTGTAATGAACATCTTTGTACACACATCCCTGTGCACCTGTGCAAGTATTTCAGCAGGACAGATCTTAGAACAGAATTTCTGAGCCACAGACTGAACTCAACATTTTACTAAGTGTAGTCATACTGCCACTCAAAATACTTCCTCAATTGTACAACCCAGGCCCTGCCCCTCTGCGTCTGCCTCAACACTTTGTTAGCACCAATACTGATATACTTCCGCAGTCTAAAGGGTGAAAAGTATCTTTGTCTTCATTTGCATTCTATAGTTACTTATGATGTTAAGCACTTTTTTTGTTTATTGGTTTCCCGTATTTCGTATAAATTGCCTGTGCATATCCTTTGTCCACTTTTTTTTTAAAGTTAAGATTTTCACCTTTATTATTATTATTATTTATTTGGCTGTGCTGTGTCTTAATTGCAGCATGTGGGGTCTTCAGCTGTGGCATGTGGGATCTAATTCCCTGATCAGGGGTTGAACTAGGGCCCCCTACATTGGGAGAGCAGACTCAACCACTGGATCACCAGAGAAGTCCGACACTTTTCTTTTTTCAACAAGTCTCTACATATTATGGATACCTTCTCTAACACATGTTCCAAGTATTTTATGTCTCTAATTTTAAGCACTTTGCTCTTTTCAAATACAGCAAATATTTTTCAAAATATTTGGCACATGGGCTTTTCTGATGTAATTTTGATATAATTTAATTAATGCATTTTCCCCAGAGGGTTTTGGGTCCTGTCCTGGCAGTTTGGTACGCCTGTAACATAAAGTGCAAGGACAGAAGGCAAAGCAGTACGCAATATTAAGGTCATAAAGGGCTTTGTCGTTGTTGTTCAGTCACTCAATCATGGCCAACTCTGCAACTCCATGGACTGTAGCATGCCAGGTTTCTCTGTCCTTCACCAACTCCCGGAGTTTGCTCAAACTCAAATCCATCAAATTGGGGATGCCATCTAACCATTCTGTCCTCTATAGTCTCCTTCTCCTCCTGCCTTCAATCTTTCCCAGCATCAGGGTATTTTCCAATGAGTTGGCTCTTTGTATCAGGTGGCCAAGATACTGCAGCTTCAGCATCAGTCCTTCCAATGAATATTCAGGGTTGATATCCTTTAGGATTGACTGGTTGGAACTCCTTGCATTCCAAGGGACTCTCAAGAGTCTTCCCCAACACCACAGTTCAAAAGCATCAGTTCTTCAGCGCTCAGCTTTCTTTATAGTCCACCTCTCACATCCATACGTGACTACTGGAAAACCATAGCTTTGACTACACCGACCTTTGTTGGCAAAGTAATGTTTCTGCTTTTTAATACACTGTATAGGTTTGTCATAGTTTTTCTTCCAAAGAGCAAGCAAAATCACTGCAGATGGTGATTGCAGCCATGAATTTAAAATATGCTTGCCCCTTGGAAGAAAAGGGCTTTGACGTCACTGTTAAGAAGCTAAAACATTATCCTGATGGCATCAGGGAAGTATACACAAGTTTTCAGCAACAGAGTGGCTTTCAATATTCTCCATTTAATAAGAGCACCTACTGTGCCATGATCAATTCTGTCTCTTAGAAAATGGTAATTTTTGTACCTTTAATATTTCCCACAATTCAAAGTAAGTAAAAGAAACAGAAAACTCATTAAATCAAAAGACACAATTATGGGGATCTGCTCTGCCACATATTAAAACTTATTTTATATTAAAACAAAATGGTATCAGTGCAGAAACTGTGAGAGCAATGTAACAGGCTAGAAACAGATTTGAGTATACAAACGTCTGTAAAATAGATAAGTGTCATTTCAATTCAGTGGGAGATGACGGCAAGATCACCGGGGAAAAAGGCATTTTTCTATATTACAGGTTATCACCTGTAATATAGGTGATATATTAATATCCAATAGGTTAAAATGTAAAAACAAAAAACTCCAAAAACCCCACTATTTAAAAAATCCTTTAAAGGTATTAGCCGAAAATAAAGGTGAATCTTTTAATACTCTTGAGATGGGAAAAACTTTCCAAAAATGATACCCACCCACGCCTATACAAAAATAAATTGCAGAAAATATTAGAGGAAAATACGTTTGTAATCTTTGGAATGGGGAGGCCTCCCCATGAGAGGGGAACAGAAGGTCCGAGAAGCCGGAGGGCGCCGCTTCAGGGGCTCAGAATCGAGGGCTCCGCGCCCTGTGACCCCCGCCCGCCCAGCCCCCTCGCCCGCCTCCCGCCCGCGGGCGCCGCACTCACCCGCCTGCACAAAGGGCGCCGCGGGCGGCTCCGCCCCCTGACGCCGCCGCCGCCGCCGCCGCCCGTCCGGACCGAGGCGGGAGAAGGTGATGAGGGCCCTGATGCCTGAGCCAATGACGCCCAGTGACGGGGCCCCTGGGGCTGGACCAGCCGCCGGGGCCAGCCAGGCTCTGACGAAAGCCTCCCAGCAATGGCGGCCGCGCTGCGCTGGCTCCGGCTCGGCGGTACGCATGCGCCGGCGGTGCCGGGGGCCCGACCTCTTCCCACAGGCCGGGCTGGGAACTCCCACCCGCTTCCCGCGGTCGGCCGCTCACCAGAGCCGCGCTGACCACCCGGTCCCCGGCCCCCGCTCCCGGCGTCGCAGAAATGCTTCTTCAGAGAGGACCCAGGACCCTCCCAGAACCCTTGACGATCAGAAGCTCCAGCGTGGGGCGCCGCGCGGTCCCTAGGTGACCACACAAGTCGTCGCTCTCCTCAGTCCTGAAATACCGCCCCTTCCCCAATTTTATATCAACGAAACTAAAGATATAGTAATAACGATTGAATGTATAATACAAGTATACTGATGAGAAGAATGGAATTCTTTTAACGGAGATAAAATTGGAATTCACCAGAATCGATTGCAAATGCTTATCTGTTAATGCAGGAATTCAATGAGGAAGGGAGACACTTTTCAACAGTGCTGGGAAAACTGGATGTGCACTTGCAAAAGAATAAAATTGGACCTTAGACTTAACAGAACATACATAAATTAATTCAAAACGGATCAAAAAACCTAAATGTGAGAGGTAAAATTATAAAACTCTTAGAAGAAAACATAGGAGTGAAAAGCTTCATGATGTTCTTTTGGCAGTTATTAATATTTATTGTAGATGGCATCGAAAGCACAGGCAACAAAAGAGGAAAAAAATGGATAAATTGGACTTCAATATTTAACACTTCTGTCCATCAAAGAACAGTAATAATAGAGTGAAAAGACAATCCACAAAATATTTGCAAGTCATATATCTGATAAGGGATTAAGGTCCAGAATGAATAAAAAATTCCTGTAAGTTAACAACAAACAGGCATCCAGATTTTAAAATGAGCAAAGGGCTACTTCCCTGGTGGTCCAGTGGCTAAGATTCCATGCTCCCATTGCAGGGAGCCTGGGTTTGACTGGTGGTCCGGGGAACTGGATCCCACATGCTACAGCTAAAGATTCACCATGCCCCAACTGAGATCTGACACAAGCAAATAAATAAAAATGAATATTAAAAAAAAATTAGGCAAAGTAATTTAATAGGGACTTCTTCAAGCAAGGTATACAAATGACCAATAAGCACATGACAAGAGGTTCAGTATCACTCATCATTAAGGAAATGCAAGTTACTGCATTGAGGTACCAAGTCACAGACACTAGGATGACTACTATTCAAAAAACAGAGTTCGAGTGTTGGCAATGATGTGAAGTAATCCGAACTCCTTTGTGTTACTGATGGGAATGTAATACAGTTGCTGTGGAAAACAGTTTGGCGATTTTTCAAAACATTAAACATAGCCTTGCAATATGACTCAGCAATTCCATTTTGGGGTAGATAACCAAAAGTATTGAAAGCAGGATCTCAAAAGAGATATTTGCATCTCCATGTTTGTTGCAGTATTATTCACAATAGCCAAGAAGTGAAAGAAATCCAGTGTTCATTCACAGATGAATGAATTCACAAAACGTGGTATTTATACATGTTCTATGGAATATTATTCAACCTTAAAAAGGAAGGAAATTCTGAAACATACTACAACATGGATTAATACCTTGAAGACATTATTCAAAGTGAGATAATTCAGTCACAAAAGGACAAATACTATTTGATTCCACTTACAAGTGATACCTAGTTAAACACAGATACTGACAGAAATTACAATTGTTGCCAGGGGCAGGAAGTGGGGTGGAGGTGGCTGGTTACTGTTTAATGAGTACAAACTGTCAACTTGAGAATATGAAAGGAGTTCTGGAGATGGAGGAAGCTGATGGTTGCACAGAAATGTGAATTAACTGAATGCCACTGAACTTAAAATGGTAAATTTTATATTATGTATTTTTAATACCATAAAATGAGAAAAAAGACAGCTGGATCCTTGTATCTGTTTCTACGTTGAATCTTCTGAAATATGTTGTTTTGGTTGATGTTTCTGAAGAAAATCTGGCTTCATATAGATACTTAGTTGGAAAAAAAGAATCCTTTAATAAGTCTTCTCACATAATTGTGACTATTTTTCTTTGATACTCTACCAAAACTCGATGAGATTAGTTGCAATGTAGAATCTGAAACCATATTCATACACTTTTTGTTTTTACATAAAAATCTGTTGAAAAAGTAGAATTGTTAGTTGCTCAGTCGTGTCCAACCCTATGTGACGGTATACTGCAGCCTGCCAGGCCCCGTTGTCCATGGGATTTCCCAGGCAAGAATACTGGAGTGGGTAGGCCATTCCCTTCTCCAGGGGATCATTTCAACCCAGGGATCAACCCAGTTCTCATGCATTGCAGGCAGATTCTTTACAGTCTGAGTCACCAAAATCTATTTGTCAGTCTCATTCTCCAAATGGATCTTGAACTCATGTATGACTTTGTAATGTCACACATTGGCCATTTGGAAAATAGCTATTTACTGAGTTACCTTACTCAGTAGGTCCTAGCTGGGTATGATTTTATCCTCCAGGAAATATTTGGCAATGTTTAGAGATTTGGTTGTCAAACTCTGGGGCTGCTACTGACATCTACTGGATAGAAGCTAGAGATATCGTGAAACATTTTACAGTGCACAACAAAGGATTATAGAGCTCCAAATGTCTACAGTGCTGAGGTTGGAAAACCCTAGTTTATTTAGGGCTGACATATTTCACTCTAAAGTATAAAAACGTATATTTGTTACTGTCACCACTAATCTTTTTGGGAAAATTTGTTAAGTGTTTGGAAGCTGTCAAGATGGTAGATACAAGTTCTCCAAAAACTTAAAGCTCAAATGTTGCTATTTACAGCATGTATTTTCAGTTCTTTTCCTTCCTGTTACAAAGCACACTTCATTTATTTTCAAGAACCTGTCTTAGAAATAACCAAGCCTAAAAAGCTAGTATTTGTCAGTTGTTTTTACAGTTGAAATTGACATTCCATATAATAAGGAGTTACTATTTCTCATAGCCACATAACTTGTTTTACTCAAGAATGCCACCACACCTGGTATAAATGTTTTATGGATGCTCACTACCTTGACTGAGCTTCCCTGGTGTCTCAGTCATTAAAGAATCTCCCTGCAACGCATGAGACCTGAGTTCCATCCCTGGGTCAGGAAGATCCCCTGGAGAAGGAAATGGCAACCCACTCCAGTATTTTTGCCTGGAAAATCCCATGGACAAAGGAGCCAGGTGGGTTACAGTCCATGGGGTAGCAAGAGTTGGACACAACTGAGTGACTAAACCACCACCACTTCTGCCTTGATTAAAGTAGCAGCAGATTTACCTACTATTGCTTTAGAACCATCAATGCAAACGCTAACACAGTGGAAAAAGCAAATTAACATTAGTATTATTAGAAAAAAGTTGACCTTATGGGCCCCCTGAAAAAGAGTCAGGGTCCTCAGGGGCCCAGGGACTACACCTTGTAAACTTCAGCTCTAGATTTATGTGAGAGAAGTAAACCCATTAATTAGGTTTTAAAAACCAAGTTAACTTGTACTTCTAGTTTTCCATTTTTCTTCTGCAGACTTGCCAGAGTTGGCAGTAACACAGAGATATTCTATTTTTTAAAAATTCTCTTTTTTTCCCAGAGTTATTGAGATATAATTGAAAATTATAAAACTTTAAATATAGATAAAATTGAAAATATCGATAGAAATTGTATATATTTAAGGTGTATGAGGTGGTGTTTTGATACACACACACACACATTGTGAAATGATAACCACAATGAAGCTAAAATATCCATCACCTCACGTAGTTACCGTTTTGTGTGTGTGTGTGTCTTGAGGGGAGAAGAACACTTAAGATCTATTCTTTGAGCAAATTTCAAGTATACAATACAGTATCGTTAATTATACTCACCATGCTGTACATTAGATCTCTAGAATTTTTGCATTTCCTTCCTTTTTCGCCATTTCCTTCTCCAGGGGATCTTCCTGACTCAGGGATTGAACCTGGGTCTCATGCATTGCAGGTGGTATCCTACATTGCAGGGGGATTCTTTACTGACTGAAACATGAGAATCTTAAGTTTATACTACTTGACTTCAAATTCTGAGATACAATGGCACCCCACTCCAGTACTCTTGCCTGGAAAATCCCGGGGATGGAGGAGCCTGGTAGGCTGCGGTCCATGGGGTTGCTAAGAGTTGGACACAACTGAGTGACTTCACTTTCACTTTTCACTTTCACACATTGGAGAAGGAAATGGCAACCCACTCCAGTGTTCTTGCCTGGAGAATCCCAGGAATGGGGAAGCCTGGTGGGCTGCCATCTATGGGATCACACAGTCGGATGATAAGTATAAGAAGTTAAGAAACAATCACTTTTCAGTGGCGTAAGTGTCTACTGTTAATTATAACCCAGAAATCACTGTGATACCCATCATTGTTGCTCTGTTAAATAATACAGAAACTTTATATACAGTAGACTAGAGTACACCATGGGCTTCCCCAGTGTCTCAGTGGTAAAGAATCCGCCTGCAATGCAGGAGCTGCAGGAGATGCAGGTTTGATCCCTGGGTCAGGAAGATCCCCTGGAAAAGGGCATGGCAACCCACGCCAAGATTCTTGCCTGGAGAATCACATGGACAGGGGAGCCTGGCGGGCTACAGTCCATAGGGTCGCAGAGTTTTACACGACTGAGAACACATGCACAGAGTAAACCATATCACAGAGCACAGCATCATCTGTAATAGAAACCACTGTTTACCATTAGGAGGAAAAAATGAGGTAAATTTATGTATTAAAGTGGAATAATCCTCAGGATATATCAAGTGAAAAGACCATGGTACGGAACCATTCTTTAATTCTGTTTGCTTTTCTCTTTGCTATCAGTTCAGTTCAGTCGCTCAGTCGTGTCCAACTCTTTGCGACCCCATGAACCGCAGCACGCCAGGCCTCCCTGTCCATCACCAGCTCCCGGAGTTCACCCAAACCCATGTCCATTGAGTCGGTGATGCCATCCAACCATCTCATCCTCTGTTGTCCCCTTGTCCTCCTGCCCTCAATCTTTCCCAGCATCAGGGTCTTTTCCAATGAGCCAATTCTTCGCATCAGGTGGCCAGAGTATTGGAGTTTCAGCTTCAACATCAGTCCTTCCAAAGAACACCCAGGACTGATCTCCTTTAGCATGGACTGGTTGGATCTCCTTGCAGTCCAAGGGACTCTCAAGAGTGTTCTCCAACACCACAGTTCAAAAGCATCAATTCTTATGCACTCATATTCTTTATATAGCAAAGCTTTCTTTATATAGCTCATCAGCTTTCTTTATATAGCAAAGTGCTATTCCCATATATAATATATCCTTTTAAAACATGCCTCATAGTCTCAATATCTTTGTGTTGTGCTCAAAAACAGGGTAGCATGTCCTTCTCAGGCAATGTTGCTTAGAAATTAGCACAGTGTGCTCTCATGTACCTCTCCTCCCTCATTCCAAATTGTTGCAAAGACAAAGAATATTAAGTTCACAAGTGGGGACAGTGGAAAGAACACCAGCTTCGGAGTCAGTTCAGACCTGTGTTTGCGACAGAGCTGACATCTTGAGCAAGTAAGTCCCTTAATTTTTCTGATTCTGAATTTTCTCTTTTGGCATATGGTGATGAAAATATGTGTATCTCATATTTACTCTGGGGATTAAAATAAAAGCGCATATGTACTCAGCACAATGCTAGGCGCATATTAAGTGCTTCATAAATGAAAACTATCATTAATTTAGTTCCATGTCTATGGGAGTCATTTAGATATTTAGAAGATCTGCTTTCCCAGTTTTCCTTCAGTAAGTACACTCTTAACACCTCAGTCTCTGCTGATAAGATACTCTGGAAAATTAAATAATTATGAGTGTCTTTCTGCTTCTTTTAGCACTTTTTAAGAGGAATCGGAGGGTGGGTGAGATAGGGATATAGGCTTAAGAGACACAACCTAGTATGTGTAAGTTGCTCAGTCATGTCTGAGTCTTTGCAACTCCATGAACTATACAGTCCATGGAATTTTCCAGGCCAGAATACTGGAGTGGGTAGCCTTTCCCTTCTCCAGGGGTTCTTCCCAACCCAGTATGTATAAAATAAATAAGCAACAAGTACAGCACAGGGAATTATAGCCATTATTTTGTAGTGAGTTTAAATGGAGTAGAGTCTATAAAAATATTGAATCACTATTGTACACTAGAAATTATATAATATTGTAAATTAACTATGGGCTTCCCTGATAGCCCAGATAGTAAAGAATCTACCTGCAATGTAGGAGTCCCAGGTTCAGTCCCTGAGTTGGGAAGATCCTGTGGAGAAGAGAATGGCTACCCACTCCAGTATTCTTGCCTGGAGAAGCCCATGGACAGAGGAGGCTGGTGGGTTACAGTCCGTGGTGACTACACTAAAAAAAAAGGGAGAAAGAAAATTCCCTATTTCCGTTTCTCATGACCAGAGAGTCGTTTAAAGAAGAATGAACTGTGTCTTTTTGATTTCAAAATGGAGTTTACCTTTCTTTAGATGCTTTTTGTGTATTTATGATTAAATGTATTACTGTATGTTACAAGTTAAATGTTACATATAATATTCTTTATTATATAGAAGCCTAACTAGAAAAATAACCATAATTTAAAACAGGTCAATAGTATGGACTGAAAACCAAAATCTGGGATAATGTCTATATTGGATTCTCTTATTGATATAAATTATATTGTAGGAATGTAGCCTTTTCATCTTTTTAAGGTTTTTGTTTCTTTATTTTCAGCTCCTTCAGTCTGACATGGCAGAAAAACCAATGTGTCCCTCCACACAAATACCCGATGATGAAGACACAGTTGAGTATATCTTTCAAAGAGAACTCTTCATTTTGTACTTCAACAAGATTGCATATTTTCAAAATATTGATTCAGTAAACTGATATAGACCTAGCTGATAAAGGCTTATCTTTATTACTTTTGGGCATTAATTAAGTTTAATGCTGATTGGACTTAATCATTCCTCTGTCAATGGACATTTAGGTTGCTTCCATGTCCTGGCTATTTTAAATAGTGCAATGAACATTGGGGTGCATATATCCTTTCAGATCATGTTTTTCTCTGGATATAGGCCCAGGAGTGGGATAGCCGGGTCATATGGTATTCTGTTTTTAGTTTTTTAAGGAGCCTTCATACTGTTCTCCATAGTAGCCATACTGATATACATTCCCACCAGCAGTGTCGGAAGGTTCCCTTCTCTCTACACCCTCTCCAGCATTTATCGTTTGTGGATTTTTTGATGATAGTCATTCTGGTTGGCATGAGGTGATATCTCATTGTATTTTTGATTTGCATTTCTCTAATAATTAGCGCTCTTGAACATCTTTTCATGTGCCTCTTGGCCATCTGTATGTCTTCCTTGGAGAAATGTCTGTTTATATCTGCCTGTTTTTGGATTGGGTTGTTTGTTTTGATTCTGTTAAACATCACAAGCTTTTGTAAATTTTGGAGACTAATCCATTGTCAGTCACATCATTTGGAAATATTTTCTCACAATTTTCGAGTTGTCTTTTTGTTTTGTTTATTGTTTCCTTTGCTGTGCAAAAGTCCTTGAGTTTAGGTAGGTCCCATTTATTTTTGCTTTTATTACCATTATTCTGGGAGAGCAATCAAAAAAGATATTGCTGTGATTTATGTCAGAGAATGTTCTGCCTATGTTTTTCTCTAGGAGTTTTATAGTGTCCAGTCTCACATTTAAAGTCTTTAATCCCTTTTGAGCTTACTTTTGTGTATGGTGTTAAAGAGTGATAAAAATTCATTTTTTTTCATGTAGCTGTCCAGTTTTCCCAGCACCATTTATTGAAGAGACTGTCTTTCCTAGTCTTGTGTAGTCTTGTCTCTTTCGTCATAGATTGTGAAACTGTGAAAGTCGCTGAGCTGTGTCCGACTGTTTGGAACCCAGGAATTATCAAGGCCAGAATACTGAAGTGGGTGGCCTTTCCCTTCTCCAGGGAATCTTCCCAACCCAGGGATTTAATCTAGGTCTCCCACATTGCAGGAGGATTCTTTACCAGCTGAGCCACAAGGAAAGCCCAAGAATATTGGAGTGGGTAGTGTATCCTTTCTCCAGAGGATCTTCCCAACCCAGGAATCAAACCAGGGTTTCCTGCATTACAGGCGGATTCTTAACCAACTGAGCTATCAGGGAAGCCTTGTAACAGATTAATTGACCATTAATCTATGACTAGGTGCATGGTTTATTTCTGGGTTCTGATTGGAGTTAAATATCAATGCTGGTTTAAATAATTGTTGTATATCTCTTGCATCTGCAGACATTTTAACATATTTATTTTATTTATTTATTTGGCTGCGCTGGGTCTTAGCTGCAGCACATGGGATCTTTAGTTGCAGCATGTGGGATCTAGTTCCCCAACCAGGGATCAAACCCAGGCCCCCTGCATTGGGAGCATGTAGTCTTAGCCTCTAGACCCCCAGGGAAGTTTTTTTTTCCCCCAGGGAAGTTTTGCAGACATTTTTAGTAGTGCAAAAGACTATTTCAGTTTTTTTGGGGGGAAGGGCTCTTTTTAAAAATTTATTTTTAATTGGAGGTTAATTGCTTTACAATGTGTTGGTTTCTGCTGTACAACAGCATGAATCAGCCATAAGTATACTTATAGCCCTTTCCTCAAGACTATTCTAATTTAACTCCAATGAAAAAAATGAAAACTCCAGAACCTCCTAGTAGGTGGGAGGAACAGTACTACTTTGATGCATATGCTTGAAACTTTATGCATATGCATATGCATATGAAACTTTAGGCACTGATAAATAATTTTAAAATGAAGTTATTTTAGAAAATGGCAGGGTGGCTGCTTTTTAATTATTTTACTGAGTGAGAAATTGAACCAAGTTCAATTTTAAGATGAGCCTCTCTACTAGGGAAAACATAGTACCTCACATAAAATTTTGCACTAAAAGAGTAGCATGTCTGAATGAGTGAAAACTGGGCTTTAGAAATGTCTTTGGTCAAAACATCAAATAGATCCATGAGTACTGAGCTACGTTAAGTAGTGGTTGCTTATGTCTTAATAATGGTTCTCTTGATGTTTTCCTCCAAACATGCATGTTTTTTCTAGATCTTAGTTTAAATCAAACTATCATATTTTTTTACACTGTTGTCATCTTGGATTGAGGTATGGTGCACAGTGCTTCTCCATATGGTGGAGATTGAGGCGTTGGGTGCAGTGGTCTGAACCGGCAACTCTAATCCTCTGCATTTGGCCCCCTTAGGCAAGCAAAACTAGGCTAAGCACAAAAGAAGAGGTTGCATCTTATTTGATCACCTAGATTCCATCTTACTTTTACTGGGCTTTGCTGGTGTCAAAACTACTGTCAGAGTCCTATCTCAGTGACTAAACCACTGACTTATGCCCATTCCATTTTATCTTTGGCCTCTCTGATGCATTAAATCATAGTGAGTGCTCCTTTGTTAACATGACATTAAAATGATAACATTTTAGAATAGGCTGATCCCCAAGGTCAATTAGTCAAACTTTAATCTGATATATAAATGTTTGCTACAAACGCTTTAACAAGTAACCTTCCAACCTTTTTTTGAACCCCTTACAACTGGCAACTTAGTTTATTCTCCCTTTTGAAATTAAAAATACCATTCTCACATTATTAAAAGAAAAATTCAAACAGTAGAAAGGAGAAAATTCTCTTCTCAATCTAGTTCTTTACAGGCAATAACTAGTCTAATCTTTGGACAACTTTTTATGTTAGCACGTACAGATCAATCTTATTCTTTTTAATAACTCTATTCTTTTACTGTTGTAAATACTTTTCTTCAATAACCAGTCCCCTATTGGTAGCTCTAAGGTAATTTCTGGCTTTGTTTTTGTTTTCTGTTATTCTATACAATACTGCTTTGAATATGCTCCTACATACCTTTTTATGTACATGATGAAATATTTTCCTAGAAATGAAATTGTTGGGTCAGATAGTATATGCCATTTAAATTGATAGTAATTATAAAAACGCTCTATAAAGTTACGTTTACACTCCAGCCACCAACATATGAAGATGCCTGGTATCTCTCTCTTAAATTGGAATTGAAGGCTTAAGTAGATCCATTTAACTTTTGTATAACTTTAATTATGAAAAATTCCTGCTCATATATTGTATAAAATTAGTCCTTTGGAATTTGTCCCCTTTTGCCATTCCCTTGAATGCCACAAAATAATGTAATCCTTTTTCCATAGGACAGTCTTCACGTGTTTTCAGATTTGTCCCTCTAAAATGCTTCTTTTGCTCACCTTCAAATTTTCAGTTTATTACATAGTTTTTTAGAAATTGAGGTATCATTGACATATAACATTGGATTAGTTTTGAGTGTGCAACATAATGATTTGATGTTGTATATGTTATATGCATTAGTCGCTCAATCGTGTCCGACTCTTTGTGACCCCGTGGGCTGTAGCCCATCAGGATTCTATGTCCATGGGATTCTCCAGGCAAGAATACTAGACTGGATTGCCGTTCCCTTCTCCAGAGGATCTTCCTGATCCAGGAATTGAACCCTGATCTCCTTCATTGCAGGCAGATTCTTAATCCTTTGAGCTATACGGAAAGTCCTTATTGCAAGATGACTACCATAATAGGTTAGTTAGCATCCATTCCACATGCTGTTCCACCTATTCTTTTCTCACGAAATGTTTTAAATTCTGTTATTAGCCTCGTCAATCTCCTTTGGATTCCTGTCTTCATTTCTCCTTCTCTCCTCTCTTTTCCCTTTTCTTCCTCTCATTCTCCCTTCCTCTTTTCCTTCTTTCTTCTCTCGCCCCTTTCCTTCCAGACTTTTTATAATGAGCAGCGACAATGTACCAGAAACTATGCCAAATGTGAGATGATGTAGTGTTCTAGTGTCCTTCTTAGAGCAGAAGATGAATTTCCAAGGCAAGTTCCACAGCGATAAGTTCAGACTGCCCATCCTTTTATCTGGATACACTGACTACCCTAGGGTTTTTTTTCCTCTACAGTTATATTACAATGTAAATTTTTACCTTTATAATCATCTGAGTTTCTTGCTTCTTCTTCCTCTTTATGCTTTTATCAGGCTTCACTTGCCATTAAACCATGGATTGTAAATGCAATATGGTGTGTTTAATTCTTTTGGATTTTTCTATAGTTTTCTCATCTGTCACAATATTTTTATAGTTGACACTATTTTGATTCTTTTTTCTGTCTTCCTGTCTGGTTATTCTTATCTTCTTTTTAGGCTTCTTTTTTCACCTTCTGAGAGTGGGCATTTTCCCATGTCTCATTCTTGTTCTTTTTTATCTTTCTTCAAACCTCCACTGTGCTCAAATATATATAATTGCTTTCAGGGTATTTCTATACTTTGTTTAGAATTAGAATTTCAAAATTCAAACTTATCTTGTTCTCACACAAGAATGTACTAACTTCCTTTTCTGATCTTCCTATTACTGGCCATGGTATCTATACCTGATTAGTGGTCAAGTTCTTTTAATTTTTTTTTCCCAGAAAGCCTCCTCGTTCTCTATATGTTTCATTCACACTAGTAATTTTATCACCATTCACTTTAGAAAATGTTATTTATTTCTGGCTGCATTGCTGTCTTCATTGCTACATGTGGGCTTTCTCTAGTGGCGGGAGCTGGGGCTACTCTCTAGTTGTGGTGCATGGGCTTTTCGTGGTGGTGGTTTCTCTTGTTGTGGAGTGTGGGCTTTGGGCACAAGGGCTTCGGTAGTTGCAGCACTCAACCTCAGTAGTTTAAAAGCATAAAGAGGAAGAAATAGTTTAAAAACATAAAGAGGAAGAAGCAAGTGGCATATGGGCTTAGTTGCCCCAAGGCATGTGGGATATTCCTTGACCAGGGATTGATCCTGTGTTCCCTGCATTGGTAGGTGGATTCTTAACCACTAGACCACAAGGGAAGCCCTACCACTCACTTTTATAAGGGAAGGTCTTCCCAACTCATGGCTCTAGTTTCCTCTCCAGGCCCCTTTGCATGCTAGTGCCTCATTCATCTCTTTGAAATGTTTCCTCCTTCTATCATTCTCTGACTCAAATCTCCAGCCACTGCCCATTACTAATTCAATAAAAACCCATATTCCTTAGCCTCATATCCAAAAACTCTCTCTTGTTAGGGTCCTTTTTATCTTTTAAGTTTTCCCAATTTAAGTCTTTCCCTTTAAGTAGGCAAGTTCTTTACAACACAAGGGCAAATAGTACATTGTTCATTTGCCATATTTCCCTCTTGCTCATAATATCTACTTCCTCCATACAAATCTTATCCTATTTTCAAGAGCCAATCTGTCATTTTTTAAAACTATTTTTAACTACTCCACGTTAACAGTCATCTATCCTTCTTCCAAATTCCTATATTTTTTAAATTAACTTTTCTAAAATTTTGATACTTAGTATGATATTAATAAATATTTTAACTTTTTCTGCATGGCTTTTATTCTCCTTGAAATTATATGCTCTTCATAAATAAAACTCTCTGACTTATAGAACATTAGAGTGTGAAAGAATTTTAAGCTCACCCGGTCAAATGTTCTCATTTTATAGAAGAGAAAACAGGCATCAGTGACTGTCCCAAAGGCTCACAATGACTAATGACTTTTCTTATTCAGCTACCTTTCCCCATATGACTGGGAAAAAAGCTCATTGATTACAGGGTAAACATCAGGGCTTCTCAGAGCTTGAAGAGTCCTTTATAATTTACATACTTTGCATGCAGTATCCCATTTTCTAGATGTAGTCTGTATGTCCTTGTTATCATGAGAGATTAAAATAATGTATGGTTAGCATTTCAGTTTCATTTGAATGCATATGAAATAATCCTTTTCATGGTAGGTTAAACCTTATATTTTTATATACTTACCTTATGTATACCTTATACACCTTCTTAATTTACTTTACTGTGGCTGATGCAAAGGTAAAATTAAGAAAGAGATTTGCATGATCATAAATGCCAAATTAGTAGAACCTGAAATATTGAAGTTTTCTACATAAACTATATCATAATTTTATAAAAATATATATTATAAAAAGAACTTTCAGCCCAATGGAAGACAATTGTTAAGTAATTGTGATGATTCAAAACTTTGCTTGTTCTATTTGTTCTGTGGGTAAAAACTCAGTGCTAATGAGGCCAAGGTTTCTGGTCTTTTCCTGATAAAAAAAAATGGGCTATATTTTGTTCTATGGACACTTTGATCTGGTACCTCCCTCCGTTGCAGTTTTTAAAATGAGTGAAGCCTATCACAAGGGAGTCTAGGACAGAGAGAACAATAGAGCATCCAAATCTGTTATTGTTTCATATTACCTTCAGATTTTATGGGTCAGAATGTTCTCTTTGAATAGAGAACTCAGAATTTGCCACATATATTAAACCCCACTAAGAGCACAAATAGTAACAAATTAAAATTTTTTCTTATTTGATTGTATTTTCAGTTTAGTATTGCTCAATATGCTGTCTTTAAATATAAAATCCCCATGGAATTTTTATTAATTAATCCTTGGTTGATGCCTGGATTCCTGATTGGGACCAAATAGGACCCTGGTAGGGTCCTATCCCTACCCTTCATTGTTCATTTAGCATGTACTAACTCAACTAAAGCTGAGTGCTGAAGAATTGATGCTTTTGAACTGTGGTGTTGGAGAAGACTCTTGAGAGTCCCTTAGACTGCAAGGAGATCCAACCAGTCCATCCTAAAGGAGATCAGTCCTGAAGATCCATTGGAAGGACTGATGCTGAAGCTGAAACTCCAATATTTTGGCCACCTGATGTGAAGAACTGACTCACTGCAACAGACCCTGATGCTGGGAAAGATTGAAAGCAGGAGGAGAAGGGGACGACCGAGGAAGAGATGGTTGGATGGCATCACCAACATGATGGACATGAGTTTGAGTAGGCTCCGGGTGTTGGTTTTGGACAGGGAAGCCTGGTGTGCTGCAGTCCATGGGGCTCGCAAAGAGTAGGACATGACTGAGCAACTGAACTGAACTGAACTGAATTCAACTAACAACTATATCATCATCTTTTGTGTATCTAAAATTACCTATTGGGATTTCCCTGGTGGTCCAGTAGTTAAGACTCCATACTTCCAATGCAAGGGGTATGGGTTCAATTCCTAGTCAGGGAACAAGATCCCACATGCCAAGTGATGTGGCAAAAAATAAAATGACCTATCACTTAATTCATTAAACTCATCTTTTTCTGTAAATTCTTAAACATGTTCATAATAGTTACAGTGTTTATCTGCCAGTTCCTCTTTGTGTGGGTGTTTCTTTTGATTGTGTTTGTCCTTGACTGTGAGAGAGATTCTTTTCTGCTTCTTCCTATCTAGGAATTTTGATTATACATTGTAGAAAGTCTAAGTTCTATTACTATATTTCTCTAAAGATTAGTGAATTTGTTTCAGCAGCTAGATTACTGGCAAGTCATTTGGACCCTGTTGAGTCACGATATTCTTTGTAAAGGTGTATTTACCTTCATTGTACCCTTCAACTTGGGAGTAACTCTTTAACTTAGAACATAATCCTTGATCCTATAGCAAGTCCTTTTACAAATTTAAATAAAAAGTTCAAAGTATTTATTTAAAGTGTTGATGAAACTCATCTAACTGGGAAGAAGCTTAAACTCCAAACTCTGTCCCCTTGGGTCTTGCCAGTACCACTGCTAAAATACCAGCTCAGCGTTCTTAGAATGCCAATTCTTCTCTGAGTTTCCAGTGAGCTCTTTACAGTCATACCTACACGTACAGAGTTAGACTCAGCCAAGTATTCTAAAGTTTGCACATTTGGGTCTCCCCATGCTGTGGCTGGCTCTTCCAATATTTCTTTCTCTGTATCCTTGTATTTTGGCAACCCTAAATTCTAACCTTAGATTTCCCAGCTCAAGATTGTCGCTCTTTGCTTGAGCTCTGTGTTTCAAGTTTCTTATTTACTAGGGAGTCGCTTCATGGGAGTATGTGGATAAATCTAGTTTTACCTATTATGCGAACTTGTTTCCAGAATTTGATTTATTCTTGTTTCTGCCTCCTTTTTGTTTTCTTCCAATGCCTTCAAACAGTTGTTCTCGTTGTTAACTTAAGGAAAAGTAAAATGCTGTTAAGTTACTTCGCTATCATCAAAAGTTAGGCCTGTACACACTGTTTTATATCTTACTCTTTAAAGAGTTTCATGTATTTTTCAATTTATTAAAGCATTTTTTATAAATATCTCTAATTACTGAAGAAGGCCCCAGTGTGTATGTGAATAAATATATTATCATTTACTTGGATATTCTATTACAAGGAGTCATATATTTGGATGTTAGAGGGCTACAGCAAACACTTTTCTGCATAAAGCATTTGTGAAAACTTCTAGTTGTTTGGGAGAGATTTCCAGAGCTGAGACTAGTATAGATTAATAAGCCTTCTTTGAATTATTTTCCACTTTTAAAAATAATCAATTGGTAAATTTATGTATGATAAATTATAATAAATAAATAAAAATAATAAAGTATAATAAATATATTATTAATGGATTTCTGGGCTTCTAGGTTGGTGTTATTAGCAATGGATTCTTTTAACAACTTGATACAACACAAGTTCTCAGAGGCATATCACAAATATGAAGTCAAAGTTTTTAGTTACTTTTTAAAAAATTCAAATAAACTTTTATTTCTTGCATGCATTAACATATACTGGATCTCCTGAATATATTACCAGACTGAAATGGAATGAAACAATGTTGTTTTCTTTTTTCCACAAAAATAATTCATTATTGTAGAACAACATATTGGGCTTTCTTGTGGTATGTCTTTAATTTCCTACTTTTAAACTTAGAAATATAGTCTATTTGAGTGTGAACCAAGATAGGGTCACTATTTATAAAAATGATGACAAAAATCTATATTTCTGGTTCTGGTCTCTCTTCTTACAAATTTACTTCATTTGCATCTTGTCTGAAGTATGATAATCAAAAGATATTTGATCATTTGAATGCTCATATGAAATGATGTCATTTTTCAAATAATTATTTTCATTTCTTTGACTTAATATAGTCATTGTCAAGTGATATCTTCTAGCTAATCAAAATATTGTTTTTTTCTTTAAGCAAAAAGAAGATAATATCCGTTGCTTAAATGTGCTTGGCCATTTTGGTTTCGATTGTTTGGCTCATCAGCTGGTGGACAAATCTGTTCAACAAGGATTCTTTTTTAATATTCTCTGTGTGGGTAAGTGCCAAACCTCTCCCATGAATTATTTCTTAATTGTTCATTTCAACTTATTTTAAGCAGCATAACACTGAGACTCTTACTTTAAGATTGGGTCTTTGTGTTTGTATTGGTTCACATCTTCTTAGCCGTGTTACTTTGACATTTTTTCTTTAAGTGTTTCAGTGCTCTTCAAAATCTGATACACCTTTCTGTATATTATCTTTCCATATTTTGTTAATGATGGATGGAGTCAGAAGTATCATATGTATTTCAAGGACATTCCAGTCTTTGAAATATTTGGGACGCTTTGTAAACCATTCTAGGGAGGGGACAGGGTGTTACTTCACAACTATCTTATGCCCCTATGATGTGTCTATTTCCATACAGGGGAAACTGGGATTGGAAAATCAACCTTGATTGACACACTGTTCAATACTAATTTGAAAGACAAAAAATCTTCGCATTTTTACTCAAATGTTGGACTTAAAATTCAGACATATGAACTCCAGGAAAACAATGTTCAGTTGAAATTAACTGTTGTGAAAACGGTGGGCTTTGGTGATCAAATAAACAAGGAAGCCAGGTGAGTGTTTTCTTAATTTGAAAAGTTACTGTTACTTCAAGGAATTTGCTTTTTTTCTCCATATGTTAAAAAGTAATGTTCTTCTAGAATATATCTAAAATTTAATCACTTCGCTGTACAGCAGAAATTAGCACAACACTGTAAATCAACTATACTTCACTTAAAAAATAGTAAAGTGGGTCTATTGTAGATGGCATGTAGTTGAATTTTTTCTTGAATCCATTCAGCCACTCTTTGTCTTTTGATTGGGGAGTTTACTCCTTTCAAGTGGGCTTTCCTGGTAGCTCTGCTGGTAAAGAATCCGCCTATAAGACAAAAGACCTCGGTTTGATTCCTGGGTTGGGTAGATCCCCTGGAGAAGGGAAAGGCACCCCACTCCAGTATTCTGGCCTGGAGAATTCAGGGTTGCAAAGAGTCAGATGTGACTTTCACTTTTCACTCTTTTCAGATAATTATATATAATATATACTCTATAGCATATAGTGATACATATGAGTAATTATTCACAAGGAATGACTATTATTATTTTGCTATATGTTTTCTGTCTATCTTGTAGTTCCCTTGTTCCTCATTTCCTCTTTTTAGTTTCTTTGAATTTTGTTGATCTTTGTAGTGATGTGTTTTCCTTCTCTTTTTCTTTTATGTATCTTTTATAGGTATTTTCTTTGTGGTTACCATGAGGCTTATGTAAAGCATTTTATAACAGTTTATTTTAAGCTTATATCAACTTCAATCACATGCACAATTTTACAGTTTTACCTGTTCATCACTTTTGATATCAAACTTCATATTTTTATGTTGTTCATCCATTCGAAGATTTTTGTATTTATAGTTATTTATACTTTTTTCTTTTTACTTCTATGGTACAGGTAAAATGATTAACTTACCTTTTTCATTGTAGTGTTATAATATTCTCTATTTGTCTATATTTACCTTTATTTACCTTTACCATTGAGTTTTATACTCCTGTTTGCTTTCGTGTTACTATGAGTCCACTTGTTTCAACTTGAATAACTCCCTTTAGCATTTCTTTTCAGGTAGATCTAGTGGCATTTCTTTTAAGGCAAATTTAGTGGTGATGAACTTCCTCAGTATTTATTTGTCTGGGAAGTATTTTTTTTTCTTTCATGTCTAAAAGGCAGTTGGTAGGTTTTTTCTTTTTATCACTTTGACTATATTATCCTGTTCTCTTCTAGCCTGCAAATTTTATGCTGAGAAATTGGCTCATGGTCTTATGGGGGCTCCCTTATATGTGATGAGTTGCTTTTCTGTTGCTGCTTGCAAACTTTACTTTTTGTCCTTGACTTTTTAAAAAGAAATTTTATTGGAGTACAGTTGTGCTACAATGATGCATTTTTGTCTATTGTGCAGCAAAGTCAATCAGCCATACACATACATGTGCTGTGTGCTCATTTGCTCAGACATGTCTGACTCTTTCTGACCCATGGACTGCAGCCCACCAGGTTCCTCTGTTTGTGGAATTTTCCAGGCAAGAATACTGGAATGGGTTGCCATTTCCTACTCCGACAGATACATACAACCCCTCTTTTTTGTATTTCCTTCCTCTTTAGGTCACCACAGAGCGCTGAGTAGGGTTCCCTGTGCTGTACAGTAGATTCTCATTAGTTATCCATTTTATACATAGTAGTATGTCTATGTCAATCTCCCAGCTCATCCCACCCCTCCATTTCCCCCCTTGGTGTCCATATGTTCTCTACGTCTGTGTCTCTATTTCTGATTTGCAAATAAATTCATCTGTACCATTTTTCTAGATTCCACATATATGCATTAATATACAATATTTGTTTTTCTCTTGCTGACTTACTTCACTGTATGTCTCTAGGTCCATCCACACCTCTGCAAATGGCACAATTTGTTTCTTTTTATGGTTGAGTAATATTCCATTATATATATATGCCACACCTTCTATATGCATTCCTCTGTTGATGGTCATTTAGGTTGCTTCCACATCTTGGCTATTGTAAATAGTGCTGCAGTGAACACTGGGGTGCATGTATCTTTTGGAATTATGATTTTCTTGGGTATACGCCCAGGAGTAGGATTGCTGGGTCATATGGTAGTTCTATTTTTAGATTTTTAAAGGAACCTCTGTACTATTCTTCATACTGGCTGTATCAATTTACATTCCCTCCAACAGTGTAAGAGGATTCCCTTTCCTCCACACCCTATCCAGCATTCATTGCTTGTAGATTTTTTGATGATGGCCATTCTGACCAGTGTAAGGTGCTACCTCATTGATTTGCATTTCTCTAATAATTAGTGATACAGAGCATCTTTTCTTGTGTTTTTGGTCATCTGTATGTCTTCTTTGGAGAAATGTCTACTTAGTTCTTCTACCCATTTTTTGATTGGGTTGTTTGTTGTTTTGATATTGAGCTACATGAGCTGTTTGCATATTTTGAAGATTGATTCTTTGTCAGTTGCTTCACTTGCAAATATTTTCTCTCATTCTGAGAGTTGTCTTTTTTTGTCTTGTTTATGGTTTCCTTGGCTGTGCAAACGTTTTTAAGTTTAATTAGGTCCTCTTTGTTTATTTTTGTGTTTATTTTCATTACTTTAGGAGATGGGTCTAAAAAGATCTTGCTGCGATTTCTGTCAGAGTGTTCTGCCTGTTTTCCTCTGAGAGTTTTATAGTGTCTGACTTACATTTAAGAATGCATTGAGCTGTATATCCACCTCCTCAGCTGGGACCTAGAACAGTTGTACCACATCCAAAAATTCTCTTGTGCTTTAGTCAATTTATCCTTGTGCTGATACCATGCTATATTAATTATTTTAGCTTCACAGTAAGTCCTAATATAGGAAGAATATATCTTCATTTTTTTTCAGTATGTCTTGAGTGTTCTTGGTTCTTTGCACTTATATATATATACATACAAAAAACTTGGATTCTACTTGAGACTGCATTGAACTGAGAGAGCATTTTGCCTTTTCTGTAAACAGTGGGTCCTTAAAAAAAACTATTCATTTTGACTGTGCTGGATCTCCCTTGCTGCTCACAGGCTTTCACTCATTGTAGCAAGTGGGGGCTACTCTTCCTTGTGGTTCACAGGCTTGAGGTGGTGGCTTCTCTTGTGGTGGAGCATGGGCTCTAGGCGTGTGGGCTCAGTAATCACGGCACTCAGACTCAATAGTTGCAGAACACTGGCCCTAGAGTGTGGGCTCAGCAGTACACTGCACAAGTTTAGCTGACCCTCAGCACGTGGAATCTTTCTGGACTAGGGATCTAACCCGTGTCTCCTGAATTGGCAAGCAGATTCTTAACCACTGTACCACCAGGAAAGTCTAATGATGGGCCTTTTTATTGGTTTATAATTGTTATCTTTGTAGGGACATGTTATGAACATTTTAATTGCTGGGGCAAGCTAGTGAGTGCACATATTCACTATATAGTAAATGATAAAATCACAGACATCAGATGATATTAATCTGTTATGTTAAATGTTTGAATAATCTTTTATTTTTTCAGCTACCAGCCAATTGTTGACTACCTAGATGCTCAATTTGAGTCCTATCTTCAAGAAGAATTGAAAATTAAACGTTCCTTAGGTGACTACCATGATTCCCGCGTCCATGTGTGCCTTTACTTCATTTCGCCTACAGGACATTCTCTGAAGTCTCTTGATATATTAACCATGAAGAACATTGACAGCAAGGTGCGTTTGGTAAATCCGTCAGCCTGTCAAGATTTGATACTTATTTTGAAAAAATACAAATCTTGAACTTTCCTAGTGGTCCAGTAGTTAAGTATCCATCTGTGGGTGCAGAGGACATGGGTTTGATTTCTAGTCTGGGAAGATCCCATATAACTCGGGGCAACTAAGCCCATGTGCCACAACTACTGACCCTAAGAAACAGTGCAAATCTTGAAAGCATTTACACACAAGAACTTGGCTTCCCTGGTGGCTCAGATGGTAAAGAGTCCGCCTGCAGTGAGGAAGACCAGGTTTGCTTCCTGGGTTGGGAAGATCCCTGGAGAAGGAAATGGCAGCCCACTCCAGTATCCTTGCCTGGAAAATCCCATGGACGGAGGAGTCTAACAGGCTACAGTCCGTGGGATCACAAAGAGTCGGACACGACTGGGTGACTTTACATATATGTCATCTTTTCTGTTAATCTTTAAAGCATTTGTGTTAGTTTTCTAGAGATACCATTACAAAATGCTGCTTAGTGATTTAACAATAGAAAGTGCTTTAAAACAGACATTTTTTTTTTCTTACAGTTCCGGAAAGTGTCACCAAGTTTTGTTTTTTCTGAAACCTCTCAATTCAGGAAGTAGATGGCCACTTTCTCACTGTCACCTCACATGATCTTTTGTTTGTACGCACATGTGATGTCTCTGTGTGTCCAAGTTTCCCATTTTTATGAAGACACTGGTGGAACTGGATTAACGCTATTTCAATGGCCTTAGATGGTGCAAATGAATGATAAGTAGAAGGACAAAGTTGATCTATTCTACAATGTTGATGAGAAGTCTCTCCTGACATTTTAATACTCAACTGAATAAGAAATCAAATTGACCATACTTCATTTTGCTACTTACATTTTACCGAACCCAGATGCATTGGAAGCTAAGAAAATTTGAGAAGAGAAAAACCTGAGCCTTCTAAACCTGGTTTCTGATTAAAGTTTAATCTTCAAAAATACTGATGATTTTGGAAAGCAATTTTCTGAAGTAGTCATGAAAGCTAGAGATTATTTGGTTACGAAAATGTGTTGTCAGATATTGTGAGGTTTTGACTGTAAAAATAACATTTAATAATTAATTCTCAATGGTGAGTTTTTCTTTGCTTCTTTCTTAATAGGTGAACATTATACCAGTGATTGCCAAAGCAGATGCAATTTCTAAAAATGATTTACAGACATTTAAGTGTGAGATAATGAATGAATTGATTAGTAATGGCATCCAGATATATCAGTTCCCAACAGATGATGAAACTACCACTCACACGAACTCCTCAATGAATGTAAGCCTCTAACTATTGAATCTCAATTCTATTTGACAGGGGGAATGAAAATATAATTTATAAGTAACCTTATCAGTAATACAGAAAAAATTGGAAAACACCCTGATGCTGGGAAAGATTGAGGGCAGGAGGAGAAGGGGGCGACAGAGAATGAGATGATTGGATGGCATCACTGACTCAATGGACATGAGTTTGAGCAAACTCCAGGAGATAGTGAAGGGAAGCCTAGCGTGTTGCAGTCCGTGGGGTCCCAAAGAGTTGGACATGACTTAGCGACTGAACAACTATGTTAGTAATATAGTGTCACTTGTATCTGACAAAGAGACTATAAATAAGGTATTTTCCCCCAAAATCCAGTGTGGGAAAATGTTTCTTTTTCTTGATTTTGAAAAATATTTCCTGGGAATCAATTATTTTAGGAAGCATTTTATTCTTTTAAAAATCCTTTTAGAAAGATATAGTTCACATACCGAATGACTCACCCATGAAAGTATACAATTTAATGATTTTTAGTCTGTTCACAATGTGTGCAACCACCTCCACAGCCAAATTGAAGACATTTTTATTATATAATAGAAATAGAAATATTATCTCAAAAAGAAACCCCATACTCTTTAGCTTTTCTCCCCTACTGCCTGTCAGCCTTCCTCTCCACCAGCCCTAGGAAACCACTAATCAACATCTTTCTCTTTAGATTCCTCTGTTCTGGATATCATATGAACGGAATTACATAGTATTTGGTCTTTTCATGTTTTAATTGGCTATCAGTATGTCTTCCCAGGGGAAAAATTTACTCAGATCATTTGTGCATTTTTAATTGAGCTTTTTAAAAAATAATAATAATTATTTTTAATATTTTAATATTTTATTATTTTAATAATAATAATAATTATTAAGTTGTTAGAGTTCTTTATGTATTCTAGATACCAGGTGCTTATGAGATACATGATTTGCAATTATTTTCTCCTAATCTATTAGTCATTTTTTCATTTTATTTCTGGTGTCCTTTGAAACATAAGCTTTTAAAAAATATTGATGAAGTCCAATTTATTTATTTTTGTTGTTACTTGTGCTTTTGATGTCATATCTAAGAATGTTTTGTCAAATCCAAGGTAATAAAGGATTTCTTATGTTTCCTTCTAAGAGGCTTTAAAATTGTGGTAAAATATACATAGAATGAAGTTTACCATCTTAAACTTTTAATCTTTTTTATTTAAAAAATTTAAAAAATGTTTTTGATGTGGAGTATTTAAAAAGTCTTTACTGAATTTGTTACAGTTTTATGAAGTCATTACTGAATTTGTTACGGTTCAGTTTTATGTTTTTATTTTTTTGGCTGCTAGGCATGTGGGATCTTAGCTCCCTGACCTAGGATCAAACTTGCAACCCCTGCATTCGAAGGCAGAGTCTTAACCACTGGAATGTCAGGGAAGTCCCTAACTTAAATCTTTTGAAGTTCACAGTTGAGTGACATTATCTGTTCATAGTGTTGTGCTAATATCATTGCCACCAACTATATCCACAGAACTTTTTTCATCTTGAAAAACTGAAGCTCTGCAATAAATAATAATTTCCTGTTATTCCTTCCATCAACTTTATGAATTTGACTACTCAAAGTACTTCTAGTAGATAGAATTATATAATATTTGTCCTTTCCTACCTATACAAATATTTCTTTGAGTCTCTGCTTTCAGTTTCCTTGGGCCAATTCTTATATGTGCCAAGAAGTGGAGTTGCTGGATTGTATGATAATTGTAGGTTAAATTTCTTGAGGAACCGCCATACTTTTTTCCATAGTGGCTTCACTATTTTTGCATTCCCACAAAAAGTGCACAACGTTTCCAATTTATCCACATTTATACCAACACTTGTTATTTTCTATTTTTTTTTAAAAAAATGGTAGCTTATCTTAATGGATATGAGTTACTATCGCACTGTGGGGTTTGTGTGTGTGTATATAGTCATTTTTATTATAGTTCATGAGTACATTAGAAACTGACATGGATTTCTTTATGAAGACATGTAGATTGTTATGGGCAGCTGCTTTCCACTTTTACTTGAGAATGGTAAAGAAGCCAATATCAGTGTCATTATATCAAGTTTTCACCTGATAGGAAACCTGAACAGGTCTCTTGGGTCTGCTAGGTCACTGTTATATTGTCTCCAGACCTCCCCGCACCCAAGTGTCTCTGGAATTCCATACACATTTCAAAAGGTACTTGGGCAACAGAACACTATTACCCTGCTTGTTTTTAAGGTGCAATTCCTGGGTTAAATATTGTGCATATATATCTCCAAATTGCCCAGGCTTATCTTCCAAATAAGGCATTACTCATTTTACTGATCTCCCTGCCAAACAAAGGACCCCAAAGCATTCTGTTAATCTCAAAGAAGTCAGGTGAGGCTCTTCTCTCCTCAAATCAAGTTATTTGAAATCCCAAATGAAATGCTAGTGCCAGAGGGCAAAACAGTAGCCTTTCCTGAAAAGCTGCATTGTGATTTTTTTTTAAAAATTATTTATATATTTATTTGTTGGCCGTGCTGGATCTTCATGTTGCAGCACACGGGCTCTGGGTGCGTAGGTTTAGTAGTTGTGGCACAAGCGGCTTTGTTGCTCTGCGGCATGTGGGCTCTTCCCTGACCAGGAATCAACCCATATCCCTTGCACTGGCAGGAAGATTCTTTACCACTGGACCACCAGGGAAGACCTGCCCTTTTTAAAAAATGGGTTGTTTGCTTTGATATTGTGTTGTATGAGCTGTTCATATATTTTAGGTGTTAACTCCTTAGTAGATATGTCATTTCCAAATATTTTCTTCCATTCCATAGGTTGTCTTTTCATTTTTTGACAGTTTCTTTTGCTGTGCAAAAGGTTTTGAGTTAAATTAGGTCCCATTTGTTTAGTTTTGCTTTTGTATCCTTTGCCTGAGAAGAAAGATCTAAAAAATATTGTGACCACTTATGTCAGTGTTCTGCCTAGAGTTTTCTTTTAGGAGTTTCATGGTTTCTGGTCTTAAATTTAGGTCTTTAATTCATTTTGTATTATCTTTGTATATCTTATGAGAAAAGTTCAAATTTCATTCTTTTACATATTGACTGTGTAGTTGTCATGTATTTATCCCAGCACCACTTGTTGAAGAGATTGTCTTTTCACATCGTATATTTTTCCCTCCTTTGTCATAGATTAATTGGCCATATGTGTGTAATTTTATTTCTGAGTTCTCTGTTCTGTTCCACTGATCTGTGTCTGTGCTAGTACCATACTATTTTGATACTGCAGTTTTATAGTATAGTTTGAAGTCAAAGAGTGTGATACTTACAGTTTTGTTCTTTTTTCCTCAAGATTGCTTTGGCTATCTGAGCTCTTTTGCAATACCATACAATTTTATTATGTATTATGTAATTAATTCCATTAGTTCTGTGGAAAATGTCATGTGTATTTTGATAGGGATTACATTAAATCTGTAGATTACTCTGAGTAGTATGAACATTTTAACATTATTAATTCTTCCAATCCATGAACATGTTATATTTTTTCACTAATTTGTGTCATCTTCATATTCTTTCATCAGTGTCTGATATTTTTCAGAATTTTGGTCTTTCACCTCCTCTTTTAAGCCAATTTCTAGGTATTTTATTCATTTTGATGCAATTTTAAATGGATTGTTTCCTTGATTTCTCTTTTTGATAGTTCATTATTAGTAAATAGAAAAACAACATGTAGAAATTTGTATGTTAACCTTTATTCTTCAACTTTATTGAATTCATTTATTATTTGTAGTAATTTTTTGGCAGAGACTTAAAGTTTTCTATATATAGTATCATATCATCTGCAAATAATGACAGTTTTACTTTTTCCCTTCCAACTTAGATACCTTTTATTTATTTTTGTTGTCTGACTGCTGTGGCTAAGACTTCTAATATTATGTTAAGTAGAAGTGGGATCTCACAAATGCTTACAGGAATTAATCTGCACACATTTAATGCTAAGTCATAAAATCTGAGGCAGGATAAATCACTTGTTTGAATAAAGTTATTATGTATTCTTGTCTCTTTTATTTCCATAACAGGAATAAGAGTAACAGAGTAAGTTATATTGGTATAAGAAAATATGATGAAATTCATTCTTACTCTCTAGGGCCTCTTACCTTTTGCTGTAGTAGGAAGTACGGATGAAGTGAAAGTTGGAAAAAGGACAGTCAGAGGACGTCAGTACCCCTGGGGAATTTTACAAGGTAAATATAACAAACCTCCATGAGAAGGCTTGCTCTGGAGTGATTATACGTAAATATATATAATTATAAAATTATGTAAACTATAACTATAAATATATAAAACAAAATATTTTAATGAGTCAATATTGGTAACTCTCGTTAAACAGCAAATTAACAGTTACTGATAAGGAGCACAGATTCTGTTTCATTTGAGATCGTGATTATTTTGACTATAATTTATTCTTGTGGGAATTTTCTGGAATATTTTTGTACTTCAGGCAAAAATTCAGAAACTGAGCAGAACCTTCTCATTTATCCCAGTCTGCCATATGCAGATTATCTCTGTGGTGCTAAACCATCGTATTCAGAATGCTGAAAAGTTCTCTGAACAAAAGAACTTTGAACAACATGGAAGCATAAATATTGGTACTTGAAACATATTATATAAGTTAATTGCTACCCAATTTATAAAGCACTATTAAGTGGTTACTAGTAAAAGGGAATCCCGTGGATGGAGGAGCCTGGTTGGCTGCAGTCCATGGGGTCGCTAAAAGTCAGACAGGACTAAGCGACTTCACTTTCACTTTTCACTTTCACTCATTGAAGGAAATGGCAACCCACTCCAGTGTTCTTGCCTGGAGAATCCCAGAGAAGGGGGAGCCTGGCGGGCTGACGTCTGTGGGGTCACACAGAGTCGGACACCACTGAAGTGACTTAGCAGCAGCAGCAGCAGTAAAAGGGATGGTAAACTATTTCAAAAATAAAGTAATATAATTTTTTTGGATAAATTATACCTAGACATTTATATTAGTTATCTAGCATGATGAATTAGAATATTGTCATAACAGTCATTTATTGTCTGATTCATATACTTGTGATAATAATTATTGGGGACTGGATTATCTCTATCTGTAGAGATAATGTTCCAAATGTTATTTTCAATTAATATGTTATAAATTTTTAAATTTATTAAATGTACTTAAAGACAACATATTTTAATGAATATTATATTTGGTTACAATATCATACCCACTACCCAAAATACTGTGATCAGTCTTTTGGATATGACAGGCACAAGAAGCCATGTGAATTTATTGAGTGATTTTGAAAAGTGACTAATTTATTCTCATACATATAGTGTAGAAATATAATTTAATAACTACATCATGTATAATTGTTAAGGCCTTTACATTAGCAAGATTTAATTAAATTATTTAGTTTAGTGAAGTTATCTTATTTAAAAGAAGATAATTTATAGTTTATTTATAGATCAGGAAACTTACTTTAAATTTATTAGCCAGAGACTAAATAGGAAATAGTGAAATAATATGATACATTATATTGGTATATAGCATCAGTTCATCAGTTCATCAGTTTACTGCTCTGTAAAATACCCTGAGAATGGTCATTTGAAAAATACTAAATTATTAAAGAAAACTTATGCTATATAAGTTTCAAAACCACAAAATTAAAAGACTCTTGCTCCTTGGAAGAAAAGCTGTAACCAACCTAGACAGCATATTAAAAAGCAGAGACATCACTTTGCCGACAGAAGTCCATATAGTCAAAGCTATCGTTTTTCCAGTAGTCATGTATGGATGTGAGAGTTGGGCCATAAAGAAGGCTGAGTGCCGAAGAATTGATGCTTTCAAATTGTGCTGTTGGAGAGGACTCCCAAGAGTTCCTTGGACTACAAGGAGATCAAATCAGTCAATTCATGTACTGAATTTCTATATTCAGGAAATCAGTCCTGAATATTCATTGGAAGGACTGATGCTGAAGCTAAAGTTCCAATATTTTGGCTACCTGATGAGAAGAGCCAACTCATTGAGAAGAGTCTTTTCCTCACTGGAAAAGATCCTGATGTTGGGAAAGATTGAAAGCAGGAAGACAGGGGACAGCAGAGGATGAGATGGTTGTATGGCATCACTGATTCAATGGACATGAGTTTGAGCAAGTTCTGGGAGACGGTGAAGGACAGGGAGGCCTGGTATGCTGCAGTCCATGGGGTCGCAAAGAGTCAGACACAACTGAGCAACTAAACTGAACTGATGCTATATACTAATATAATGTAACATATTATTTCACTGTTTCCTATTTAGTCTCTGGCTAATAAGTTTAAAGCAAATTTCCTGGTCTATAAATAAACTATACCTATAATTGACATATACCATATAAGCATAGTTACATGGTTAAAAGACTTATAGCTATTATTCAGAATGCTCTAAGCTCATTCAAGAATACTTTCTGAGTGATAGGAATTGATAAAGAACTTTGCGGCTTTATTATTTTTCTGCCTAGTGGAAAACGAAAACCACTGTGACTTTGTTAAGCTCCGGGATATGCTTCTTTGTACAAATATGGAAGACTTGAAAGAGCAGACTCATACTCGGCACTATGAACGTTACAGGCGCAACAGACTTCACATAATGGGATTTACTGATATGGGTCCAAACAACCAGCCAGTTAGGTGAGTGGAGATCTCACTCGAAGAAGGTGATAGGTGACTTGGAAATCCCCTACAACTGTGAGATACGATTATTTTGGAATGAGAATAGCTCTGCTTCTCATATTCTGGGCCATCTGAATCTTGTGGTTTCTCATTGTCTTCAGACCTCGATGGAGGCTTAGTAGGAGCAACATAATGCAAAGGCTCATTTATATGCCTCCAGTATGTGCATGTCCCAGGAGGAGGGCATGGCAACCCACTCCAGTATTCTTGCCTGGAGAGCCCCATGGACGGAGGAGCCCAGAGGATTACAGTCCATGGGATTGCAAAGAGTCGGACACGACTGAGCGACTAAGCACACACAATATGTACTTGTGCTGAAACCCTCCATGTCAATCCCAAAGAGAGAAGTTTTTATAGGCAAAATTTGGGAGGGAGGGCTGCAGGGTATGTAACCCTCCCCTTATCAGTTGGTGGTGAGGTAACAAGATGGTGTTCAATCATCAGCCTTCTGGTTTCAGCCAGTCTGGGGTCCATATGCTTGTGCTCAGCCTGAAGTTATCATCTTCCACCTGGGTAGGAGCCTTGGTTCCTGCAGAACTCAGAGATCTGTTTCTGTGTCTTGGCTGTTGTGAATAGTGCTGCTATGAGCACAGGGGTCCAGGTATCTTTTTGAATTATAGTTTTGTTCTAGCATATCCCCAAGAGAGGGATTGCTGGATCATATAGCAACACTATTTTCAGCTTTGGGGGGAATGTCTATACTGTTTTCCATAGTGGCTCTTCCACTTTACATTTCCACCAGCAATGAAGTTTTGTTTTGTTTTTTTCTCACACCCTCCCCAGCATTTGTTATTTGTAGATTTTTTTCATAATGGCCTTTCTGACTGGTATGAGGTGGCACTCCATTATAGTTTTGATTTGCATTTCTCTAATAATTAGGAATGCTGAGCATCTTTTCATGTGCCTGATGGCCATCTGTATATCTTTTTCGGAGAAATGTTTATTTAGGTCTTCTGCTTGTTTTTCATTTGGGTTGTTTGGTATTTTGTTTTCAAGTTATATGAGTTGTTTATATTGGGTTGGCCAAAAAGTTCATTTGGGTTTTTCCATACAATGTTACATATTATTAATATACAATATATATTTTTATATGTTTATTTATATTAATGTTTTAATATAAGAGCACACACATTTCTTTTTAGTTTTCAAGAGATCTATGAAGCCAAAAGGCAGGAGCTCTTGGAGCAATGTCAGAGCGAAGAAGAAGAGTTGAAACAGAAGTTTATGCAGCGAGTAAAGGAGAAAGAAACAGCATTTAAAGAAGCTGAAAAAGAGGCAAGTCCTGCTAGTTGATATAATCCATATTCAAGTTTAGGTGTCCTATTAAATTGGGGGTTTTCATCTCAAGAGTTTAGATGATTTTGTTGAAGGATACTTTCTATTCTTCAAAAAGTAGTGATTTACCATGTAAGTTTTGGATTCAGCCTTTAAAAAAATGATTGCCTGTAATCTTATTTTTTCCTAGAGCATTTGGAGAATCAGCTTTTTTGAATTTTTTTAAACTGTAGTATTAAATTGACTTATAATATTATATCAGTTTTGGGTATACAATGTTGAGTCAATATTTTTATATATTAAATACCTTCTGTCAATGAGGAGGGCATGGCATCCCACTCAATATTCTTGCCTGGAGAATCCCATGGACAGAGGAGCCTGGCAGGCTACAGTTCAGAGGGATGCACAGAGTTAGACACGACTGAAGCGACTTAGCATGCACGCATGCACCATCTGTCAGCACAGAAAGTTATTAAAATATTATTCACTATATTCTGTATGCTATACATTACATCCCCATGACTTATGATTTTATAATTGGAAGTTTGTACCCTTTAATCTTCTTCACCTATTTCACTCATCCCTCTCCTCTGGCAACCACCATTTTGTTCTCTGTATCTATGAGTGTGTTTCTGTTTCGTTAAGTTTATTCATTTGAATTGTTTTTAGATTCCCTGTATAAGTGAAATCATGTGGTATTTATCTTTCTCTTTCTTATCTATTATCTACCTCTGACTTATTTTACTTAGCATAATACTCTCCAGGTCCTTTCATGTTGTCTCAAAAGGCAAGGTTTTTTTTTTTAAACGGGTAATGTTCCATTGTATGTATGTATGTATGTATATACATATAACACATCTTTAAGTAAAAAGTTTTCTCAGTGATCTTGCTATCATTTATAAATACTACAATCTCACATCCCCAGCCTTTCCAATCATTCTTCTTGCCCTTGTATGTAGATGCTCATTTGCCCTCAGGTCTGAAAATGTATTTACCAGCGATATGACTCCAGCAGAGATACTTTTTGAGACTACTATTAAGATCAAGTGCTAGTCTAATGATTAGGGTAGGTTTGATAATCAGAAGGAAAGAAACCTGTTCCTGGGGGTGTGCCCCTGTAGGGTGCTTTGAGTCACAACTGCGGGTTTGTTTTACAGCTACAGGACAAGTTTGAACATCTTAAGAAGATCCAGCAAGAGGAGACAATGAGACTTGAGGAGGAGAGGCGACAACTGGAAGAAGAAATCCTAGCATTTTATAAAATGAAGGCCTCCTCTGGAACCTTGCAGGGTCAGGTGTGTACCAGTATAAAGAAGGACAAAGAGCGTAAGAAATAATCCTTTACCATACTGTGTGTTGTAGAGCCCTTTCACTCTCTCTCTCATCTTCCTGGGAGATTTTCCTCATAGCACTTAATTCTGATTGAAATTATGCTAAGTTTTAAAATTTGTTTACTTGCTGTGTATTTTCTTCTGCTAGAAGGTGAGCTTGAGAGCACGTACCTTGATCATTTTGTTAGATGCTCTATCATCAGGGTTTAGAACAAGAGTGGCACAGAATTTGCGCTCAATAAATATTTGCTAAAATGAAAGAAGATCAAAGATTTATGCACCACAGTGTAAAAGTGTTGATTAGCTGTGGAAATTCTTTTACCATAGCCCTACCTATGACTCTGGTGACCAAGTATATGTATTATATCATATCTAAATAGAAGTAGGGGGTTTGTTGGCATGCAGTATTGCAAAAAGCTAATCCTTATGCTCATGTTCCTTATAAAATTCTACTGATAATAATTTCTTGGTAGTTTTTATTAAGTAAAATGCTGTTTCTGATTGTAACTCTTATACTTTTATGTTAGACCCTGTAAAACTAATATTGGAATAAAACTTCAGAAATGAAAGAGGGTAGAGAAAAATGGGAAACCATGAGTAACATTTGGATGATAATATTATGCCTTACATACTAACATTTACTTAAAACTAAAGTTACCAAGGTTTTAGAAAATAAAGTAGATTTTTTTTTAACTATTTCAAAAGTTTCCTTCTGACTATATATCCTGAATTTTCTGCATTTACAATGTCAGTTCACCTGTTTGTGTGGCTGAACTTTACCATGACTTATTCAGCAAAAGTACTACCCTTGAGGGTCTGTGTATATTTACTCTGAAATTTTTCTCATGTTCCTGAAAGAATAAAAAAATTTTTCTGTTGTAATTTTTTTTTTTACTGCTTTCATTTCAAAGGCAGCATTTTTTCAGGGCATCAGGATATTGTGATTTAGGTTAGAAAGGTAAAACCTGAAATATTGAAAAAGTTGAGAAACAATGAAGAAAGAAATATCAATACGTCAAAGCAATGTAAAAAAAAAAGCAATGTCAGAAAATAAAACATATCGTATCGTGTTGATTTAAGGCGCATGGGGTAAAGAAAAAGAAAAAAAAGACAACTGAAGACCTCAAAAATATCAGGCTTTTTGGATGCCAATCTTGTTCTTGGCTATTTATGAGAACTTCTCCAGCCCCAAGGAAAACACTCCTGTCACTCATTGAAAGTGACAGTGCTGACAAGACTTTTCAGAGCCCCTTTTATGTCCTTGTTCCTTAGAGAGTAAATAAATGGATTCAGCATTGGCGTGACCACAGTGTACATCACAGAGGCTATTGCACTGGTTCTGGAATTTTGGGTAGTGGCAGAGCTGAGGTACACCCCAAGACCTGTGCCATAAAATAAGCAAACAACTGAAAGATGAGACCCACAGGTGGAAAATGCCTTGTACTTCCCTCTTGCTGATGTAATCCTCAGTACGGAGGAGACAATCCGAGAATAAGAAACAACAATACCAGAGAGGGGAATAATGCCCATGAGCACAGTGGCAAAATACATCTCTATGATATTGAGAAGATTGTCAGAACAGGCAAGTTGAATAACCTGATTGATTTCACAGAAGAAATGGGGGATCTCCAAGTCAGTGCAAAAGGACAGCCGAAACACCAGCAAACCACGTAGCAAAGAGTCCAGGACACTCAATATCCAAGATGCCAGCAATAGCAAGACACAGAGCTGGGGGTTCATCTTGGTTGTGTAGTGCAGTGGATGGCAGATAGCTACGAATCGGTCATAGGCCATTGCAGAAAGGAGGAAAATGTCCAGTTCTGCAAAAAGGATAAAAAAATACAGCTGAGTGAGGCAGCCTTCATAGGTGATGCCTTTGTTCTGGATGTAGAGATTCAGCAGCATCTTTGGGATGGTGGTAGAGGTGAAACAGATGTCTGAAAAAGACAGATTGGAGAGGAAGAAGTACATGGGTGTGTGGAGGTGGGAGTCATAGATGGTGGTCAGCATGATGAGCAGGTTTCCAGAAATGGTTATCAGGTACATGGAGAGGAAAAGCCAAAAGAGGAGAGGCTGCAACTCTGCCTCATCTGACAGTCCAAGGAGAAGAAATCCTGAAAACTGTGTGTGATTTTCCTGTTCCATATAGCTGGTGTGACTGTCTTGAAAGAGGCAATAAAAAAATACAAACAAGTAAATATTATCAACCAACTGAACTACCACTGATTATATTTTTTATATTATTTAAATACAGTTCATATTACAGTTTACACATAAAATAAATACATCCCTATATTTTGTTAATGGATCAGGGTTAGTATAGCCCAATTCAGAGGATTAAAAATGTAGCCAATCTCTTTCTGCCACTGTCCCCACTTCAGTATGCAAACTAGCCATTTGTCATATCTTATTCCTCAAAGCCAGCATTATTTCTGCCATTTCTCTGAGATAGAATTATGTAGCTCCTTGCCCTTCATTGTCACTCACGGACTCACAGCATTAGCATCATCTGGAAAGCTTGTTAGAAATGCAGAATTGTATAAGAAAACTTAGGGATTTCCCTGGTGGACCAGTGGCTAAGACTCTGTGTTCTCAGGGCAGGAAGCCCAGGTTTGATCCCTAGTCAAGCAACTAGGTTCCATAACTAAGACCACATGCCGCAACTAACATGGCCAAATAAATAAATTTCTTCTTTTTAAAAAGAAAACTTTTATGAAGCTCATGGCTAATTAGAATGCAGCCATGGTTCTAACCAGCTTGTTTGTCAATTCATTTGATCCTCATAGTGCTACGAGGTAGGCAAATTGCTACTTACTGGCTGCTTAAAGCAACAGTGGCCCAGCAGCAACGAATCTGCCGGCGAAGCAAGAGACCCGGCTTCAACCCCTGGGTTGGGAAGAGCCCCCGGAGGAGGGCATGGCAACCCACTCCAGTGTTCTTGCCTGGAGAATCCCATGGACAGAGGAGCCTGGCGGGCTACAGTCCGTGGGGTCGCAAAGAGTCAGACATGACTGAGGTGACTAACACAAAGCAACACCAGTGTATTTTCTTACAGTTCCAGAGTCTATACTTTTGAAATCAGTTTCACTGAGTTAAAGTCAAGGTGTTGGCATGGTTGGCTCCTTCTGGAGGTGCTAGAGTGGAGTCTGTCCTTTCCAGTTTCTGGAGGCTGTCTGGATTCTTTGGTCCCTTTGTTCACATTACTCCAACCTCTTGTTTCCGTCACCTCATGGTCTTCTGTCTCTTTGATCTTCTGCCTCCTTTATAAGGAATGCTATGACTAAAATAAGAACTTCCCTGGTGGCTCAGATGGTAAAGCATCTGCCTACAATGCGGGAGACACAGGTTCAATCCCTGGGTCAGGGAGATTCTCTGGAGAAGGAAATGGCAACCCACTCCAGTACTCTTGCCTGGAAAATCCCATAGATGGAGGAGTGTGGTAGGCTATAGTTCATGGGATCCCAAAGAGTCGGACACGACTGAGCGACTTCCCTTCCCTTCATGATTAAAATAAGCCCACCCAGACAAGCCTGACCCTAACCCTCCCTCTCGGACCTCCCTCCCACTCCCCTTATCCCACCCCTCTAAGTCATCACAGAGAAGCCAGCTGAGCTTCCTGGGCTATATACCAGGTTCCCACTAGCTATCTATTTTACACATGATAGTGTATATATGTCAGTCCTAATCTCCCAGTTCGTCCCACCCTCCCCTTCTGCCCCTGTGTCCACATGTCTGTTCTCTACATCTGTGTCTCTATTCCTGCCTTGGAAATAAATTCTTCTGTACCATTTTTCTAGATTCCACATATGTGCATTGATACACTATGTTTGTTTCTCTCTTTATCACTTACTTCACTCTGTATGAGACTCTAGGTCCATCCACGTCTCTACAGATGATCCTATTTCATTCTTTTTAGGGGCTAAGTAATATTTCATTGTATGTATGTACCACATCTTCTTTATCCACTCATCTGTCGATGGACATTTAGGTTGTTTTTGTGTCCTGGCTATTGTAAATAGTGCTGCAATGAAACAGCCAAGACATAGAAACATCCCTGGTTCTAAATTCTGGTTTCCCCACCAAGAACAAATATTAAGTAAGTACTGGCTTATTCTTATACACCATGTCTCTCAGATATTTCAATTATTTCCCCACTACTTCTGTCCCATCTCTGTGGTCCCTCATCATGTCTTCCTCTGAAATTACAGGAGACTAGCATGTCTCCGGCACAATTATTGCATTGGCCCCAGAGAGATCTTTCTACAGTGTAAACCTACTCATGTATCATAGTTTCCTTTCTTCAGATATTGGACCGGTTTTGTATTAAATTTAGAAATACCCTAATTGTATAACAGGGCAATTACTGATTTTTGTCTTGCCAAGCCAATTTCATCTTTTACTGTTCTTAATCTCCCCCACATTGTTTTCCAGGCATTTAGGATTATTTTTCATATTGTAAGTATGCAATGCACTTCTTAAAAATTGTGATAAAACTCACATAACATAAAATTCACGACTGTGATCATTTGCAAGTATACAATTTCATGGCATTTAGTATAGTCACAGTGTTGTATGAACATCACCAGTATTTAGTTCCAGAAATTTTTTGCTGTCCTAAAAGAAAACCTCGTACCCATCAAGCAGTCATTCACCATTTACCTTTCCTCTAATCTCTGGCAACCACTAATCTACCTTCTGTCTCTACATATTTGTCTATCCTGGATATTTCATGTAAATAAAACCATACGATATGTAGCCTTTTGTGCCTGGCTTCTTTCGGTTATTTTTACTCCACATTTTTACACCCCAATTTCTTCTGCCAGGAGAACTCGTACCTTGAAAATTCCAATTCCTCCATCAAGACTCATTCCAACATTTTTCTCAGGGTGCATACTCTAATTTACCCTAGGTCTTTATTGCCCCCCGCTCCCTGACAGAGCTGAACAGTATTTATTGCACTCTGTCGACACTGTTTTGCCTACTGTGAGATTTTTTAAAAAATATCTATTTAACTGGCTGTACCGGGTATTAGGGGCAGGATCTTTTCTTTTCTTTTAGTTGCAGCATCTGAACTCTTAGTGGTGACATGTGGGATCTAGTTTCCTGACCAGGGATTGAACCCAGGCCCCCTGCATTAGGAGCGTGGAGTCTTAACCACTGGACCACCAGGGAAGTTCCCTGGTGGTCCCTTTTGAGGAGATAGTAGCTGTCTGGCTCCAGCTACTTTTTACCCAGTGGGAATATGGTCCTCAAGCTGTCTAATCTTTCAAATTGTCAAGAAAAACCATAAATCTAGACTGTATATGAATCTTCCCCCAATTTGGTAGGGAAGTCCCTATCATGGGATATTACTTTTAGTTTTTTGGTCCTAGTCCCCTCTTTGATGGAAAGAGTAGCATCTTATCCCTTCCTTTATTCCAGAATACAGTTAAATGTTCAATTTAGAGTAATCATTGCTAATTATTTCCTGAATAAAAGAGTTTGAATAGAAATTGTTGATAGTGGAAGATAAGAGAAACAGAAACAAAAGGAAAAGCTGAAGTGGGTATGGAAGATAAACAAGAGAAAACGGGGGAGAGGAAGGAAGGGGAAGCCCGTGCTACTGAACTGAAAGCCAAAGCAGATAAACCATATTAAGAAACAATAGGCCACAGTTGATGCTAAAACTGCTTCCAAGTTCTTAAAACTGGAAAGTCTTGGTTTTGCTGAACTTTTATTTCTTAATCTCTGTTAGGAACCTTGAAAGTTGATACCATTAATAGGGATCCTCCCTCCATAGCTCATTTATTTCATTTTTTTCTGCACTTACAAGGATTCTCTGGCTTCCCAAGTTGTATCACTGAAGAGTCAGTGTAAGTTCCATTTCTCCTGTGAACAATTGTTAAAAGATGGGAGCTCTGCCCCTAGGAAGGGCAGGGAGACAAAATCACTCATAAGATCTCTGGAAGATACAGTTGTGCTTCCTCTATTACTGATTAAGCCAAATTGCCAAATATGTACAAAAAAAGAAAACCATTACAGCTTTAGAAGTTTCCAGGATCAAAGTCTCATTGTGCCTCATTAAATAAATTGTTAGATTGTTACTCTGTTCTCTGAGGACTAGAATTCTCTAGAAGCTAAGGAGCTAAATAAAAGTTGATTTTGTTTTGGCAGTCATGCCTCTTGGGAGTAGCTATGGATCTCAATGTATGTCTTCTAATCAAGGTCAGGATTATTCCCTTAGATGTGATCTGTAGGGAGCAGGGTATAAGGATGGTCCCTTTTATATCTAAGTGTAGTTAACTCATTATAGACCTGAAGCAAAGGGTTGGGGAAAGTCTGCTGAGCTCCCTCGGCTTTGACCAAGAAATTTGAAAATTATAAAAAAATGTAAAAATCACAAAGCTTCTTTGTTTCTCTGTATTATTTCTAAACATTGGTTATCTGGACCTTTGTTGCTCCTTCAACTAAAAGATTTTATAACCATTGTTATTAGTAATCACTGTTTATACTTCATTTATCTTATTATTTTACTTACATAAATTTAGTAAAAATGGAATTTCTTAATACAGAGTCTAAATATAGACTCTTTTCAGTGTCTAATGTACATTTTTCATGTAAATGTCTAATGCATTAATACATTTTCCAACATCAATCATTCTCAGCAAATCAAAATAATCCATCAAATGGAAATGGGTCTTTAAATACTTGCCCATTTTTGGACATTTATTTGCTTTCTAAGTTTTCTTTATGATGATATTGTGTTGATTGGTTTTAATTTATGTATTTCATTTTAGAACTATGTAAACTATATCTTTAGAGCTATATCTTGCTCAGTTTTTAAAGGTATTTCCTTGATAAAATTCTTATAAATGATCATCTATTCCATGATTTTCAGTTCAGTCTCTCAGTCGTGTCTCACTCTTTGCAACCCCATGGACTGCAGCATGCCAGGCCTCCCTGTCCATCACCATCTCCCAGAGTTTACGCAAACTCATGTCCATTGGGGAGAAGGCAATGGCACCCCACTCCAATACTCTTGCCTGGAAAATCCCATGGATGGAGGAGCCTGGTAGGCTACAGTACATGGAGTCGCTAAGAGTTGGACATGACTGAGCGACTTCACTTTCACTTTTCACTTTCATGCATTGGAGAAGGTAATGGCA